CATTGTAACGGCGTGAACGGGTATGACGATATCCAACCTATGGTGCGGCTCTTAGAACTACCAGTGGTCGGGACGATGAATCATATAATGGCAGCACTAGATATAGAAGTATGATAGTTTAGAATATTCATTGGTCTACTCTCTACTGTACTAATGAAAAGGTCAACGACTGTTGAATGGCCATGTATTGAACATTACGTGAAAGAGAATGTAGATCTATGGGAGAGGCCAAAGATTTGCGAAAATACGTGTGGCACTATTTGGTGATAAAAAGGTCGCCAGAACATAGATTTCATGCAAACTTAATAGATAAGCTAAAGGCCCAGTAAAACAAAATACACTAATGTTTTTTACTCTAACATACTTTGCTTAAAGACCTTAACACTTATAAAAGAGCGCCTCTACTATTATACTTAGTATTTTACACATTCACAGCGCTACATAAAAAGGTTTCTCTCTTTGTATTTCTCTTTCTTACATTTTATGATAAACCATAATAGATTTCTTCCTTTTCTTGTTTCCTCTATACAGATTTCCTTTATCTCTCAATTGTTTTAATTTATACCAAATGCAGCTGTCAGCTTGATAACATACTCCTTCTTGACGTACATATCTATACAGTATAAACGTTTGCTAGTCAAATATTCATCAAACTGCTTCATTATCTATGTAGAAATATATGGAATATCCTATATCAAGTAGGTTTCAGAATTCTTTTGGTTTATCAAAATCTGGCTGTGATCTATGAACAGGTTTGAACAGAAGACTTATTAATAAGCACAAGAAATTAATGCTTTTTACGGGCACGATGCGTCCCACCTACATATATCATACAATTGACTTCTTACATAATACATACGCGCTGTGCTTACGGGCACGACATCACGCACCTGCTATAATTAATACAAGAGTGTCAGCTATGCTGCTCTGTGTAACATATCATTTTTATTTTTTGAAGTTGTCGTGCCTGTATCAATTCCCTGTTTGTTTATGGGAAGTAAAAGAAGCAATTATAAGATACGGCTCCAATTTCCATTTTCACGTCTTGAGTACCATGTAGTATCAAATATGATGGAAAAGACCAATATAACGTACTGGTCAATGTGTATGTGGACTATGTATATACAGACTATGTGTACTATTTATTATACGGACTATCTACAGTATATAGGTAAATATACGGCACGGATAGCATGGGTGGGGCCGTCCTAATTTTAGTTTTTTTTTTGGCAGCATCGATTCGCGAAGCGAATTGATGCTGCCACAGCAGCCTTTTAGGAAGCATTTGGATTATGTTGTATGATATCAATCTTTATTCTGCATATTATTACATTTACCACGACCACCGCTTCCTTTTCAGCTATATTGACGACATTTACCACAACGTCTACTTCGTTTGGGTATACCCTCAAGGATGTTGTTCGTGGTGGTTGTAGCGTGATGTTGGGGAATGTTATTGTGGACAGTGTTGTGATTTACAGCTAGTGGTGTAGTAGCAATCGGCTTTGGTGCTAAAGATGAGGTGCTTGATGTAATATGTCCTATGTTGGGAGCTGCTATATATGATGGTGATAAATGCTGGATACTAGGAGGTAATGCCGATCGCTGATTAGAATTGTTGTTGTCAATGTTTGCGAGTTGAGCTGATAATACGGTAGGTGATGATGTTTGCAATTGAATACGACGTGATACTTTGAGTGGTCTTGGATGAAGTACTGGTGATGCTGTTCTTTTTCTTCTAGTGGATCGAAAAAGCTGACTAATCGAAGCTACTACATTCCCATTGTTGATCCGTGTAATTGCTGCATTATTCGAATCCTTCCACACAGTGTATCGTGAACGTAAATACTCAGGAGTTTTGTAGTGCATGCTAGTTCCATCAGCGTAGCGTGACCATATACGAGCAAACTTGACAAAGTCAACACCCTTGGTAATGTGATCTGCAAAGTGGGGTGCCAAGAGGAAGTTGAACATCTTGTGCTCAACATCTGTGTGCACTGGTAAAACGGCAAATGCTGTTCCTTGTCGCTTGCTCAGAAAACCGTATTGAGACCTTATTTGCTGCGAAGTTCTTCCTTGAATCATGATGAGAGTGGATACTTGCATTGGTATGTCACATGATGTCTCAATCGGTTGCTGATATGGCTTTAATTGCAGATCGTTCATAAGGTTGTGTGAGATTGGTGATATCCCCAATTGTTCCCATGATGATGTGAGATATAATGCATGATGATGAACACCAGCTTCACCCTGACTAGTCGGCAATCCGAGTGTAACACGTAAATCAGTGATGCATTGAAGGAGCCATGGATCGTAGTGACCTTTGTGCAATCTGCCATACCGGTTCACGGTACCAACCTAATACAGTAAACACACGTTAGATGAGTTTGCCATGTATTGCTATCAGAGTGTATACATAAACATCAAGGTACTTACATCAATGTTATGACATAAACGATAATCAGCCAATACTGTATCTGCAAGCTGAGGACTAGCTCCAAACGATCTGAACTTTCATATCACAGCTTAGTAGATACCACCCTCAAGAGAACTTATTCCTTGGCAACATCGATATACAATGGCAAGCCATCCTTATCATAGCGCATCAGGTAATAGAATGACATTCCAGGTGGATCAGATACATACTGTAGCTATGGTGTATTGTTGTAAGAGCATTTCTTGCTTGTCACCATGCCTCGTTGTCAACAAAGGTCTTTTAGTTCTTGCCCACTTAATAGGCCCATAGCATTCAAAAAGCTGCTAGATGATAGGATACAATGTTCCTGCAGGGGAACACACCATTACATGGAAAGATTATTAGATATTTATTTTTGTAACTCGCTGATACGTACGTTTCACTCATCGTAATATCCAATCGCTATCATTGCTAAGTATTTGATTCCACGTCATTCCTTTCTTTGCTAGGAAAGCTTCCACACGATCCTTGTCATCAGAGGTGTCAACGATAAAGAAAGCGTCACAAAGTTTTTCTGCAAAATCTGCAGAAGTTCCATGCTTTCTTGGTACACGAACCATGGCCATAAAATGGTACACATCTTTATGAACTCTCAAGCGGACGACGTTATCAGATGATGCAGTGGATGGAAGAGTACGCATGTGTCCAAACTCAACGCTGTCAACATCGACTCCTGATACTAGACGTGGAACATTATCAACATCCTCATTTATATCCGAGCTGGTGGAATCTTCCACTTTGATTGTCATCAGGATTGTCATCACCAGGATTGATCGTATCATAAGCTACTTAAGCTGTAGTTATTGTTCAAATCAATATGTAGTCGTTATAACGTGTTAATACCTGTTTCAGAGTTCTGGCTGATTATCATCATTGCATTGTAGGCCTCATTTGTTGTATCATTGGTAGCTGGGTGTGTGGGGAGATCAATGTCAACTGGCACTGCATCATAATGTACATCACGCTTTTTGACCAGTACTTTAAATGGCACTGGTCCTCGAGACCCCAATGGTTGACCATCAACATCCAATACTCCAGCAATGACTACTTTTTTTACAAGAAGCACGACGTTGGCCTTGGTGATCTTTCTGCCATCATTGAACCCTTGCTTGACCAATTCTCCACATGCAGCTGCCACATTCATTGCTCCTGGGTAGAAAAACACGTGCATTCCTAGTACTATCAATGAGCTCATAAGTATAACAAGGTAAGAATATATCGATCGTATCTTTTGTTGCATCAGAAATCCTTTTTCCAATAGGGCTATACTCTCTTATCCTCTTGTAGATGTTAAGCCTTGCAAGTGCATCCAATGCAGCATAGTGTACTTGTTCACTTGTCAAGCTTTCAGCAGCCCAGTTACCAAGTCGTACATCCTCTTCCTTTGGTAGCTTCTTGCCTAAGATCAATGCACATATATCCGTCAGTCCAGTTTTCCCACTTTGGATGATTCCACGTTCTCTGCAAAATCTTCCCAATTCTAGACATCCAGAACGATCAGGTTCCAATTCATGCAAGTCGAAAACACACTTGATTTTACGTATATCACCACCCACTTGACGGCCAATCTTGGATATGATTTCAGTAGAGAGCAAAGTGATCAACGATTGTGGTAAGTGTGCAAGATGAGAGACGCAATAAAGATCAATATGTCTGGTGTATGCAACTTCGATGATAGCGGTCTTATGCTGCCTATAGACTCTGCCATCCTCATATCAATCAACTGGCCATTCACAATCGAAACCAATGCTGAAGCCACGACCTCCATTCTCAGTCACAATTCTTGCTCTCGACAATAATCCACTAGCACTTTCTTCGAATAGCTTCAGGATCTTTCAAGCATCGTACAATGGTGTTGTCGGGTATGGTGAGTGGTAGTAGATGATCAATGGGAGAGATATCCGCGGGTTCGGGGGTTTTGACAGGCACAACATCTCTTGTCAGCGATGGCAAAACGTCTTCAAGAAATTTTTATCACCACCAACGTTGTCAGTAAAGAATATCTCTGGTTGGTCGTGGGCATAAAAGTCGTAGGCTGATCGCATAGTATCAAATGCATGCTTCAGGTGGGCCAAGGCTTTGGACGTGACAAGGTGTTGCATTCTCACTTCCTCATACTCATTGCATAGCGTGTACATTGCAGTGAATACCGATGAGCTGTTGACTTTTCCCAAAAGCTTGACGATCTTGAACGAGTGGCCAGCCTTGAGATATTTGCCATCCAGTAGCATCATCTGCTTATCCGTCAGGTGCCGTATGCTCTCAATATATGATGCATAAAAGGAACGAAAATACAATGCAAAAGGAATAAGACCAGCATAACCTTCTTGATCGTGATATGGAGAGAATGGCAAGATGTCATGGGATAAGGAAAGTGACTGGGTGATGAATGGATGCTGCTGCTTTCGATACACGGCAATGTTGAAGTACTGCAATTCAAGTCGATCATGGCGTAGCATATGCAATTCACGTAGTATCTTTTGAAAACGCTTGGGGCCAACAGAGTTTTGGGTGCATGGCCTCATCAAATTTCCCACTGTCTTCGATAACGCCAAACGCTGTGTACAGTAGTAACCAGGATATTCACATTGCAAAAAGAAAGGCAGCTGACGAATAAACCTTGGATCATGGGAGTTGAGTTCAGAAAGACACTTCTTGCATTGATAGCGTGTGCCAATGATGTAAAACGAGCTAAATATGATATCATGTGTTAATCGCAAATAGTGGTAGCAATGCCATATAACACATACCTGTCAAGATCCAGTACTCTTCGACCAATGTTGTTGTATCCTTTAGATTTCAATTCTCCGTTGCATGAGACACACTTAAGAGTCACTTGAAAGTGCTTCACCAATATATGTGGAATCCAGATGAAGATACGTGGCAAGTACAGCATCTTTGGGTCAAGCTTTTCGCGCAATACAAAGAAGGCATCAGACGGATATATCCAGAAAGACTTGTTCTTGTATTGACGTGGTTCACCGTATTGCCTCACGTCATCCACTACTTGCTTCTGTATATCCAATAGGTATACTTGCGCATGGCCTTGCACTCGGACAGGTTCTTCACCATCTTCATTAGTAAGGTCACTTTCTTGGTGCTTCAACGTGTCATCCAAATCGTCATCCTCATCCAAGTCATCATCGTTGTTTGTAGTGGTTGGCCGAGGCTCAATATCCACAAGCAAATCGGAAAGCGGTACACCTGGTTCCTCAATTCGTGCAAAGTAATTGACTTGATCGGTGGAAGAATCAGCTGATGTAGGTGCAGGTGTGAAAAGTGGTGGTGGTGGTGCTGCTGCTGCTGAAGTGTTCCTCAATGTTGGTTGGAATTGCAGTGTCAGCTGTGTATCAGAGTCTTTTGTTTTTGGACGACCAGCCTTATGGCCTTCCTTGTTTTTCTGGCCTTTTGGGCGGCCACGTTTTCCCTTTCGTTAGAATGCAAACGAAAAAAATAAATAAAAGAAGGAACGTTATTCAGGAAACGCGTCGTGCATTGTCCTTATGCGTTTCATGCAACGCCATTTCACCAACACTGCTAGTTACTATTTCCTTTTCTCATTGGCCACAGCTTCGGAGGCTCGGCCTTATTTTACTATTCAGCGTTCTTATTATTCTTCTATCCTATTGGCTGTCATAGCCCCACCCACGCTATCTGTGCCGAATTTTATTATATTATACAAAATAAAATTTGTGCGCTCTTCGAGCGGCCTTTACACCGAAACGAGCTCTACGAGCACGAAGGATAGTGATAGTAAGAACAGTTGTTTTGTATGTATCCATTTCTCTCCCTCTCTCTCTGTCTTTCTCTTTACACCATTTTCTCATATCTCAAGAAAAGTATGTTTAAGCCCTCATTTTCTACCAACATCACCAGCATTCACTGTTACAACCGGGACAAAAATCTGCACACGTAAGTAAAGATACCACACATTTTTGTGTTCGTAAGCTACAAAAAAGCTCTACTTTCCAAGATCTCTAACTTTCTTCTGTTGGTCATTCCTACTGATCTTATTTTGTTTTCATTCTTTGAAAAAGGCCTCTGTTTCCTGTCTGCTTCCCTTCTAGCATTTTCTTTGTTCCGCTCTGGCATTTCTGGTTCTTTAAGGGATATGGTCTTAGCTTGCAAGTCAAAAGAACAGAAGAGAACTGTAATCTAGCCCAATCTAGCTATCCTGTCCGCTGCCAGCCCACCCGTGCCCTGGACCAGGCACGAAAAACCAACCGGTCTTGCGGCGATGTGCTGCGGCGTGTCGTTTAGCAGCTTTGCTACTTGGGCGAAACTCAGACAAGTTACAAGCGTGGCGGCGCTCTATAAACAGCGGTAGGCACTACGGTTCTTAATGGACGGCTGTGGTGCGGTTCGGGTAGTTAGAGAGGCTTGTCTGTGGTGATCGTCCTATTCAGAACGGACCTGTCAGTATGTGGGAACCGTCTTTGTGAGAAACGATGCAAGGGGCTGTGTGAGCTTGAAAATTGTGATGCTGCTGGTGCTGCTGAAGAGCGAGTGAGGGGATGATTGTTTCTTTTCTTCTGTATTAAGATAGGTTCTGTTGCCCAGACTAAAGTGAAGGGTCTCCCAGCAATGGGAGGGTAGGGCAGGGGCCGCAATCTGTTTTGAAAACAAATGGTGAGTGACTGATTTACTGTAGCTGTTTGCTTTTACGGTATGTACTGCAAGTACAGCTTTCTGATTTTTTCTGCCCTTCTCTGTTCTTAGGGACGTCTTATTATCCAGTGCTGCCGTGTGTATATGTGGAGGAAGATAACAATTTTTTGAAATCTGACGCAATGCTACCTTCTCGTGGTAGTCTTTGGAACAAGACTGATGCAGATGATATCAGTCGATGGAAATGATAGTCTACTACTACTGTTGTATCTCTCACTACTTTGTATATTCGATAGTGTAATGATTAATGTTTCCCCTCGTGTGATACTGTCTTTTCTCTGGTTTTCCTTAAAAATTCGTAGCAACTGACTTAGTACGTGCATGCTCCTGTAGAAAGAGCCTGTGGAGGATCTACAGTACATGCTTCTATAGAGTCTAAAGATGTAATCTGCTTAGTGTAGTACATATCATACGCGCTATACTGATAAAGCTTATAGATCTGAGGACTTGTCGGTATATCGAATGAGCACTCATGCCAAAGAAGTACGGCAAAAATGTTATCCGTATCACTTTCTCTAGATGATTTACGAAAAAACTATTAGTATACCCGTTATGATACTAGCTTAATGAAATAGCGGCAAAGCTAGAAAACAATGAGCAAAACCTTGTTTGTTAAACCTTATTTCAAGTCTTACATATCACTGTCAATCCATTCACAGCCTACTACTCTTATTCATACAACTGTGGTCACCATTATCTCTCGTGAGGAAGAACATCTGAAAGACAGCTCCTTATGAGTTGTATGATGCAAGACAAGTGCATGTTACAGTATATCACATTTAAAATCTATCCATTATAGAGCTCGATATAATGATATTTATTTCAGAAAATCGTATGCTATTATGGCTCATTTGTTGTATTAATTTATTCATAATTTATTGTTAAACTCCAAGATTCTACAGTATTAGTATATCGAATAACAGTATAGCGCGCGGCCAGTGTACCAAAGTGGATTATTATAAAGTAAAGTTCGGTTCCTCGCGCGTCAAAACTGTATCGATGCTCTATGCTATGCTAAATAAGCCTTAATTCTCTATCGTAAAATGAGAAAGCGATGTAGTTGACCAAACCTTTCCGATCGCAAGGTAAGACTATATGTAAATGTTGATAATGCTGGTCCTTGCACTAGTGACTTGGTAGTGCACCATCACGTTATCAATGCACGATGCACAGACAATACTCTGTCCATTATATAATTGTCCCGTGTGTACATGACGACTAGGTGTATAGGACCAGTACATATCTTTGACCGACACAACGTAGTAGATCTCATCGATAACAAACCAACAAGACGGATAGCAAAACCCTAAAGATAAACAATTGCCAGGATGATGGTGGTACGACTTCACAAACGACGTAATCTTGTGAAGCTGGCAAAGATATTCTCACCAACGATCTGCAGAACTAGCTTTACATTGACGGTTAAAGGATATGTGTATATTTATCGAAACTACAGTGTAACTTTGCTGCAAATCTACAATGTGCTACGGCATTTCTCCTTCAACATTGCTATGCAGCTCCAGATACGCACTGCGTTTATTCGATCTTTCTGAATTTGGATGGGCACAAAGAAAAAACTTGGCGCAAATGGCTGATATTTTCTTCATATCTTGACAGGGACACTAATTTTCGTGTCATGAACTACTGTAGCAAACGGCAGCATAGCGCATGCAAGTACGATCGTATTCAGCAGCCAGCTGGATCGCACACAAAAAGAGCACTGTGTGTATGGCGACTTAGTGTGCTGGGTAATTGAGCTGAAAGATTCAGTCAAGCATTTCAAGACATATCATACAAATCTTCAACCTCTGAGGAACTTGTATAAATGATGAATAGATATTGTTTATTATTTAATTATTACTAATACTACTATAATGGAGTCTTGTAAGGTACTACTTAAGTATGGTGTTTGCATCAAGCAAGGCCACCGAAAAGAAAAGATATCTATATCATATTTTGCTCGGATGATTTAGAGTGTCATGGCAGCAAAGAGGGCAGCGACACCAGCCATCATCCATCCAGATTGGGTGCCGCTGGCAGACGATTCAGTCTTGACGTTTTTGCTGGTCTTCGAGGACGAATTCGACGACGAGGAGCGGCTTTTACCATTACTTCCACTGCCACTACCGGATGGTGGAGTGGGTGCTGATGCAGCAGATTTCAGTGCTGTAGGAAGAGCACCTGAGCTTGCACCAGAAGGGTTGCTGGGGTGAGCCATGCTAGCACCAGTAGCCGTGGGCGCTGCTGTTCCTTGTGACACTGGCGCAGATCCAGTGGGATTAGTGCCAGCGCTATTACCGTCGCCAGGAGAAATCACGGGGGCAGGTTCGCCGAGCAAGACATTCACGGGTGCTATCAAATAAATACAAAAAATAAATGTTATGAGTGAAATCATGACCTTGGAGGTTCTTGTAAAAATGATAAAGTATTATATACACACCATTCAGCTTCTTTGTATCGATACTGCCTTTGCCCTCAAACTGAAACTTTGAGGAGTAAGACCATCTACCATCAGTACCGACTCGAATCCAATAGTCGCCAGAAGTAAAGTCGTTCAAGGGTGCAATATCGTATCGAGTGTCAGAGCAAGGGACAGGAGCTGCCGGGTTGGTAACATATGCGACAATTCTAAACATTGATCAGAAATAGCAGCAATGTTGTTTAATATGTTGTAGGGCCCTGTGTATCAGAGATACGATTTTTATACGCATATACTTACTGTCCATCGTCCGTGTTTCCGTTCATCAGTTGAATATGACACAGTTCCTTGGCATCAGCACCATCAGCGTTCCAGGTAACATCGGCGTGACCACCCGACTTCCAGGAAACATCCTTCCACGGTGTAAGGACCTAAAAACACAAATATATACGTGTTATAGGGAAACTGACTCTGCAATAGTTTTTACGATTAAGAAAACCTTACATTGATGCTGGCAGCGGCATTAGAGGCCAATCCAAGGACAGTAAGCGAAGCAACAGCGAGAGACTTCATATTATGGATAACGTAGTAGGATGTCAGAAGAATTGTATACGGAAAGAATTACTGAACCCGTCTTTCGCTGTGAGAATAAAGCCTCTATATACTTTTACGACTCCAAGTAACACACCGGAAATGATGTTTCGATAGAAATAATAAACACTCTTTTAGCGCGCTACATTAGGGTGAGACATCCTCTCCTCCCTTACCCACTTTGACCAGCAAATATCCGAATAATCGGGCCATGTACCTTACGTCTGAGTGGTAGTCATTTGTAGTAAATAGTATTAACTAGGCGCTCCCAAGAAATCTATGTTTGTTTTTTTATTTTTAAAATAATCAAGCGAGTGAAAAAAAAGAGTCATCATGTAGAGAAACAAACAAAAATTATGATTTTAATATTAGCTTCATGTTATTATTATAATTATAATAATTACCGAGTAGAAAAAAGTCAAGTAAATGGTAGAAGAAATTACTAAGAGTAGTTATTCGTATGTTCTATATAGTAGGATAATGTACCACTACTACCAAGTAGCACCAGGAGCAGTAACACAGTATTTAATAACGTCATTATTACTCGCTAGAAGATGACGAGCTGGTAGAAGTAGGGTGATAGCACGGTACAGAATGGCGTCGCATATGACGTCGCATGTTGCTCAAAACACTAAAGCGCTTGTCGCAATCTCTAAAAGTACATGCGAATGGCTTTTGACCTGTATGCGAGTAAATATGTGTACGTAGCGAAGATGGTCTCGTGAACGCTTTTCGACAGTGTGTACATGCATACTTTCGGCTATTATGACTAGCAGCCGATTGCTGTTGCTTCTTGGATGGGGTAGTCATAGTAATAGCTGAAGGCGATGGCGATGATGACGATAACAATGCCGATAACGTCGTTGCCGCTCTTTTTGTTGCGGGTATCATCATCAAACCAGAAGGATCTGTTGCTGTTGTTGCCGCACCCGCCCTAGAAGAAGAACCGGTGGTGGTAGCCGCAGCCATAGCAGTACCTGGAGACGACGGTAGTGAAGGACAATCCGCTGTAGTATGATAAATGATTCGGAGCGGCCGTGATATCCAAGATGGCTGTTCGCGGAATATAATGGCAACAGATTTATCGCCAGACGATAAAGACCGGCCATGAAGGTGCTTGCATTTACTGATCATAGGATACGGCGATGATGTCGTCGTGCGAACAGAAGTAGTACGTTGATGATGTTGATGGTGATGTTGAAAGGGACTGTCGACCGCAGAAACAAGTTCGCTAGATGATACCGAAGAAGCTCCTGGGGAGGATAAAAGATATTGCGCTGTAATGCTTGTAGTTGCTGCTGAGAATAGCGGGCCTGCCTGATGATGATGATGCTGATGGTGGTAATTTGGCAACATTGGCTTTAAAGGAGGCGAAGGCGTGGAGTCGTCAATGTCCTGCAGTGGTGGTAGCTCAACGCTACTGCTGTTATCATAATTGTCGTCGATGCCAGCTAATAACAACGATAATGTAAGTGATTTGATCTTTTGAGTAACCTTTTCTTTGCCTTAACAATAAAAAGGAAATGAAATATCGACTAATAATCTTACGTGATGATAAGGATGATGCAGCAGTAGGAAGCTTGCCATGCAAAAGGAGTTCGTTAATCGATGGAAGCGTTATGTTATTATAGTTATTAGTAATGTGCAGCATCGATGTATACGTAGTTTGGATCAAGTGACGAGCAAGTGATGATTAATATGAAGAAAGAGATCATCGTTCATTTTTGACGATCCAAGATATAAAGTTATCTTAGAGCAAAGAGAAAGACGATCATTGACAACAAATTACAGGTATATTATACCGCGCGTTCTTTTTTTTCGTGCTCAATATCGAAATAATGTATGTGGGGAAGGCATCGCTGAAGTGATTAGAATTCAAACGGTCCTTTCCAACAAACAGCAAAAAAGGAAAGAATTCATGCATGCGATGCCCTAGCTGGATCTATCAAACAAAAGGGTCCCCGCTTTGCTGAAAATGAAAGTTTAGTGCGTGTCTTCACTTATTTTGTAACAACCTTCCAAAAACGCCAAAGAACGTATGAAACGCAAGTTGAGTGATCAACAAGAAGGAGACAGCGGATCAACAGGCAAAGTCCAGGAAAATAAGCGCATTCATCCTTTCTTTACGCCTGGAAGAGCAGAAGATTCAGAGATGAGCAGCGGTCAACTGCGATGGCTGCAACAAATACCGTCAGTACTGATTGCACGATCCAAACAATCTGAGCCTGGACGGAACAAGGTCGCGGCATTTGATCTGGTAGGTCATCATTCTAATCCCTTTCAATTTGTTTTCTTGTCTACTTTCCGTGCACTTTATATACGTGGCAAAAAAAAACCCCTCATGTGTATTTACGCGTGTACATATGTGGAATAGGATAGTACTTTGATCAAAACGCGTAGCGGCAAGGTGTATCCAAGGGATAGCGGTGATTGGCAGTGGTGGCATACAAGCGTACCAGGAACAGTGAGGCGTCTGCATGATGAAGGGCACGTTGCATAGTACATAATTTGCATAAAAGCTATATAACGAGAGAGGGAGAGAAGACAATGCTTACACATACGATCCATCGATTTTTCTTTAGTTATAAAATTGTGATATTCTCGAACCAGAATGGTCTAAACTCAAGCCAGAGAGTGAAAAGTTTCCAAAACAAGGTAGAAGCCATTGTGGGCCAGGTAAGAGAAGGAGAAAGAAGGGTGAGCGCGCGTGTTTTTTTGTGTATTGCGAATAGAGCGTATATAACAAGTTTCAAACGATGATGGCATTATAGCTTGGTCTACCTGTGGTATTCTTGGCTGCACTTGCAAAGGATCGGTATCGAAAGCCGATGACAGGCATGTGGGAGTGGGTTGAACAGGAAGGCAATGACGATGTAGCGATCGACAAGGAACAAAGCTTCTTCGTGGGTGATGCCGCGGGCCGTGGCGAAGGATGGAAACCTCGAGAAAAGAAAGATCATTCTGCAGTGGACAGGTAACATCTATGACAGCAAAAGAGTATACACCCACACCAAGGCTCACACGGCTTGTTCTTTTAACAGAAAATTTGCAGCAAACATCCGATTACCGTTCCATACACCAGAAGAATTCTTTTTGAAAGAATCCAAGGCAGAATTTACGTGGGGATTGTTTGATCCTGCTTCATACCCAGAAAGTAAGATGGATGGACTCTATGAACCATTTTCGAACATGAATTCTAAACTTACTGTGTATTTTGGTTTTTCGTATCCAGTGCCATTGTTTTCTCCAACACTGACCCCGCTTATTCCAGCAGACCAAGGTCCAGAAGTCATTGTTTGTGTTGGATACCCTGCTAGTGGCAAATCCAACTTTTGCAAGAAGTATGTAGTTCCAAAAGGCTATGCTTATGTTAACCAGGTAAGTTACATTTTAATTGGTGAGCTTGTACGTGGAATGCTCTTCTTGTTCGGTGCTATATAGTAACATACCATATAACATCAAACAGGACACATTGAAAACGCGGGACAGATGTATGAAAGCCTGCCAACAAGCTCTTTCTGAAGGCAAATCAGCTATCATTGGTAAGTATACAAAGCTTGTACAATAGAGTCGCTAGCCATACAGGGAAGAAAAGATATGTAGCATTTCATGGGATCAACGCTGGCAGTAATAGCACCAATTCTAAAATTTCGAAAATTTCACCTAGATAACACCAATCCTGAAGCATCCACACGTGCAAACTACATTCGAATTGCAAAGAATGCCGGTGTTCCTGCACGCTGTTTCTACTTTCAAGCAGACGAGCATCTTGCACGCCACAACAACTACTTTCGAGCAATGCATACGCGTGCAGGAGAAGAGGGAGTTAAGCGCGAGGTCATGAGCGATATTGCATTTCGAACATTCAAGTCCAAGTTACAGACACCTCAACTGTCGGAAGGGTTTGATGAAATCAAAAAGATCAACTTTGTTTTTGAAGGAAGCGATGAAGATAAGGCAGCTTGGAGCAAATGGTGGATTTAAACGTGCAAAAATGTAGCCTGTCCACTTTCTTACTATTCCTTGTACATACATATTCATAGCATATATTGCTTGAAAAATAAAGCACTCTTTGTAATTGAACCTCGGAATTTTATATGGGTACATACATTATGTATGCATGCTTGGCATTGAGATTTGTTTGGAAAAGGTAATAACACATCATCGCTGCAAACAATCGATATGTGTATGCACCTCGGAGAAGCAAGTGTTCAGATGCTTGAATTTATTGCGTATAGCAAGTTGCCTTTTATCCTTTGATGGCAACGTCATGCTATGTGAACTCAAGAGAAAACAAACAGAGATATGTGCCAGACAGCCACTGATTTTGTATTTATTTTTATTTTTGGATTATACGCAAAGTAAGCAAGTTAAGTTGATATTATCTGTACTTCCCCCCTTTGTGCTGCATGGTTTAAGCTGCTCGGGTTGGCGACCATCCTATGAGAAATCAATAGTACCGTATGTGAGATCAACAAGAATAAACAAAGGAGCTTATCTTCACAAACTAAAAGCTACACTTACGACCACGATTGCTGCTGCTGTTGCCTCGGTAGTTGTACGATCCAGCTGCTCTTGGACGGAATCCGTGAAAACCACCACCACCTCGTCCACCTTCACCTCCTCCGCGACCTCGACCACGACCATATCCGCGGCCACGACCTCGGCCTCTTTCTCCACGACCACCGCCCCGTCCACTCATATCGCTTCGACCATGTTGTCCTTCGTCATCCTGACTATCAGCTCCAGTTGGACTAGCACCTTCTGATCTTTCTTCCCGTCGACTTCCACGATCCTCTTCCCCCTGTGCAGTTGTTGTTTCTGCTGTAGTCGCAATAGGGGCCGTTTCGGATGTCCTACGAGTTGCTTCAGAAGTATCTGCAGCAGCAGCAGTAGTAGTAGTAGCCGTATTTGGGACTATTTCACCCACTATCAATATTAGTAACACATCATATACATCTTTTTTAGTTTAACAAAATGGTAAATAAGTCTCTTACCTGCTGGTGCAGAAACTTTAGAAGCCGTGTTGTTCGCCGGGTATAATGACAACGCCGACATGTCGATCATGCTATTAAAGGGAACCACTAGCCATACAGGTGGTGCACAATGTTGTGTCGTCGGAGGCGGTGCGTTAGGTGGAGCCAAGGGCCATTGTTGCTGTTCTTGTTGCTGTGTATTATCGCTGGTGCTGCTGCTGCTACCATTGGCCGTTGTCGATGATGATGATGGCTGCTGCTGCACTTGGCTGAGAGAGCTTTCGATCAAGGTATGGACCATATTTTTCATTTGTTGGAATGTTGTCGAATACCCTTCCCCAACTACCTCCGCGGATCCTGAGTGCAACTTTCGTAACAGGTCGAATACGGCGTTCTGTTTCGTTTCTCGGACTTGAGTCGATCCGTCCTTGACTGCAAACAATGAACTTCCAACCAACTTGTCGCACAGATAGACAATGGCGTCAATTTCAACGTCGGGGAACGAGCTCGAAATGACAGAAAAGAAACCTTGTTGTGCTAGACGAACGATGTAGAAAAAGTGTAACATTGTCAATGTCTCGTCGCTGTCAAGTCCTTCGTTGCTGTTGTTGTTGCTCTTGTTAACATCAGATTCTTTTGGTTGTTGCGGTTGTTCGGGTGATGGTAATGGTGCTGGTGGTGCACTCTTCTGATCATTTGGAGTTCAATAAAAAATACCGAAGCATGGATGATGATATTAGCGAAAATGCAAACCGAACAGGAACGGCATAGTATACGCTCACGTCCCCCCACCCTCACTCCGCGCTCTCCCTTTCGGTCTATCTGTGTCTTTTACGTACCATTTTGGTGCATAACCCTTCCAACTGATCAATAGTTTCAGTGATAACTTGATCATGTTCTCCTTCTTTCTACAAAAGGACATATAATCATACTGCATCAGTATCTCTCTCTCTCCTTTTATACCTTTTCCTATATTCTCTTTGAAGAGAGAATGAGGATCTTTCACTCCCGCGTTCTCGATCGTGATCAACGTTTACCTGCCGATCTTTCAATGCGTCAATGTGGTCACGAACGATTTGAATATATTCAGGAGAGACTGGTTTTGGCTTTGACGTTCGTTTCTTGGACTTTTTATTTGATTTGCGTGAGGTAGATGATTTTTGAGATTTGCGTGAAGAATCACCGTTCGTGTCGTCATGATCGGTCTGTTGATCGTGTCCTACTGCGGTAGGATTATTACTGTTGGTAGATTCAGAGTTTGCTTGGTCCTGTTTCTGCTCTTGTTGTGCGACTGTTGAGGACTTTTCTTCTTTCTTGCTGGTTGTGGTTGTATTTTCAGAAGGTGTTGTCTTGCCACTGAAAGATTCAGTAGAGCTTTCAGGTGAAGGAGCCATAATGTCAAGTTGAGATCGAAGAAAAGGGAAGAAAGGAAGAAAAATAGAGGGGAGAAAGTAAAAATAGACGGGGGAACACACACGCGCGCGCAATGAATGAAATTGAACTGAGACAGATGGAACTAGTGTTGCCTTATCACTGCAACACAACCCACACACCCTTACAATCTGCTATTGCATCCCAAAGAGGTTCTTTTTCTGATATATATATATATATATATATATATATTTGATAATAAAAGTTATAGACAAATGTAATAACAACACGCACGACAGAGCCCCTTGCACTGATTATGCTATTATTTGCTGTGGTCAGTTTTTTTAAGTTGCATGATTCGTTGCGGAAAGTGCATGTACCGCAGTAGCAAGCTGTTGCCCACTCGTTACCGGTTCCATTTCTATATCTGTGCACAGGATCACATGACGGGTTGAAATGGAACACAAGAAGAGGATATGTAGCACCTTAGTAGTATTATAGCAGAATTACTTGTGCATGCACAATCGTTACATATATATATATATATCAGTGCCATTATCAACCTATGAGTATAGTAGTATTCACTATTTACAGTGTCATATGTATCTACCTTTGTTTCGGGTGGAAAGTAAACACTTAACAGTAAACAACCACTGCTCTACCTATCACGACAGATATTCTAGTACGGGTTCAGAATACTTCTAGCCACTAACAGTTGAATGCTCTCATCGCCCAGAAAAGAACCATGCAACAAGTCTTTGTCTTTACGAAGTTTCAGTTACGAGATGAACAGTAATACAAGCGTTTATGACACATTCCTTTTTCTGTTGGAAAGGATACTACACGATGACCGATCAACTAGACATGCGTTTTTAAATTCCCTTTGTGTTTACTCTTGTACAGCACTTTTCATACCTGAAGATGTTAGGAACAACAGTGCACAGACCATCGTTTTCATTTTGAGCGTTGTGTTTGCCTAAAAGGTTCTCAGCACCCTGCCGTTCCTGATCTTACCTAGTTATTCCATTTATCATAATGAACCACGGCCACGTCATCGTCATCATCATCATCATCATCGAGCAAGCTTACAATATCAAGTAAAACGAACAACCTTTTTGTAAAGTGTATAGTGATCTGGAGATGTGCGCCATTGCTCTTGCAGATACCGAACATCACGCCAGTTGTACCTGTTTTATATATAGCCTTGATCTGTTATTTCAATTGTACAAGTTTCATGTGAAAATAAGTTTCCACGCACCCATTGTTTCGATCGTGGTATCAAACAGAATGTACCTTATTCCAAACCCGCAAGGCACTTTATTGTATGTGCTCTTTTACATGATGGGTACTAATATACGGTATATACTAATGGCTTGCATTTGTGTGTAAGGATTATTTTAAAACTTGGCAGCTTTGTACCTGATATACCATTTCGAACCGTTACGCTTGAGCATTTATTATATCTTGTCACAGACTTACACATTGTGCCGTTATTTCACTGAATTTATATAGTACTCTCTCGAATAGAAAAATAAAATTGCAATCAGAGACTGCAGCTCGACATGACTGTCAGTGATGATTACACAGGAGTTACAGTCAACCCCCGCTTTTCTCATATTTCAGGCGGAAAAAGGGGCCTGAAAAAGTTGGGTCCAGATTTTTGCAGCCTAGGATATCTGGAATGTACCGAGTCGAACATCGTTCACTTTACTATACGGCTATTCTCTTTACTGTTTTGAAGGCTCTCCCGTATTTTTTATATCAGGTTTGTGGGCACCTGAAAAAAGCGGGGCTTGACTGTATATAGCTTATATGTTTTTGGGGAGTTCACGTGAGAGATATGTATCGACATGTACAGAGCATAACGCGAGCTGCCATTAAGCATGCGACGGCCCAATCGCTTGTTTGCTGCCATATCAAGATCTTTTTGCGGTATGTTACTAATGATACTTGGGCTCGTAAGTTGATATTAATAAGCCACCTCGCCTTCAGCGATAAATAACCATTCAAGCGTTGCTATCGATGTTAATTAGCAGACAAATTTACAGCTTATAACCCTATATTGCTTGAGCATACAAACAGGCCTTCCCGCGTGAAGCGCCGCCTTCTCCTGGTGACATATCCTGATCTGAGCATACAGTATGTATCGGCACACCAAGCATCATATTCGTCATCGTTTTTCTCCTAGTCGCTATCTTGTATATCACGTGGCGCAATTTTGTCATATATAGGCCATTTATCACCGTCTTCACTGCTGCTGCTATTGTCTCCTCCGGTACCACAATCGCTGACTTCAGCAGTACACTTCCAGTTCTTCCGGTTTGCCTTTTTCAACATCTGAGCGGTGTCGGGAGCACGACCGTCGTTTTCGTACCTGTCAACCGTCTTTCGCTTACTGCGAACACGTTTTTTCGTCGATACTTTTTCTCTTCCGCGTGACATGTTTAGGCCGTAGTAGGATGTGACGCCTCGTAAGAAATGACCGATTGCTTTTTCATCGTTATCGACGTACTTTAGCACGCAGCGAAAGTTGTCAACAATGCTTTGCCGCTTCTTGATTAGGTGATACAATGAGTTATGGAACGATTCGACGGCATAGGTAGTATGTCCGTAGTAATCACGTAGGCCTTCATGCAAGGTAGACACCGCAGGGAAAACGGTGCCACGAACTTCTTTACGATTCCACCACGCAACAAAACCTGCCGCTTTGGGATACATGTTTAGCACGCGCTCTAACATTTTCTTGTATTCTTTCCTTGTCTGAACAACTCGCAGCTCCAGATGCTACTTTTGCATCTCCTCCATTTTCCTCTCGTCACCGTCATGCATATCATCAACGTAGGCCTTGGCAAGTTTTCGGACGCTTCATTCGTAATGAGCCGTACAGCCCTTGACATAAGTAATACCATCGTCACGACCAGCACTCCTCTTGTAGACGTTCAGAAATCCGGTTCTCTTAGCGTCGAAAAATCCATGACGACACCAACACATTCGTTTGGAAACGTGAATGCCTTGAACAGAGCAGCAAAATAGAGCTCAAAATGTTCGGTAGTGTTCCCGTCAAGGACAGCACTAAAAGCCACTACATGTCGTTGCAATTGTGGGCTGAAGATCACTGACGTGCACAAATAGTGTCCTTTTTCAAACACGGAAAATGTGGTATCAGTGATGAGTGGGTGGACATAGAACTCGAGTTTACGAGATAATTTTGGCGGATAACAAGCAATGATCATATTTCCCTTCTTCAAAGAACAATCAGTGACGTATCCAGGATATTCTTCTTGAAGATCGATAAGTTCCTTGGGCGAATCGGATCGGCTCGGGGGGAGGATACTTGGGTCTTCATTCCGGATCTTCTTTATCTCGTACGTCAACTTGTCATACTTCTGCAGACTTGGATGGATATCACGCGCAGGCCTAAGATCGTCCCTTTAGAATAAAATATGTCAGAGCGTATATATATCCCATCTTGTCATATGTTCTTGACCAAAACTTTATAGCTCTACCTTTTTTTTCTCATTTTTATAATGCAGTTCTTTCGGTGTCACTCTGGTGGTGACAAGTTCTTTAAGCTGCGCCTTCTGTTTTGTGTTTAATTTGTTGCTTATGAAGGGTTCCGGCCGTGTACCAGGTCTAACGCTGCATTTGACATCCGTGAACTCGAAGTACGCCACATAAGTACAATCCACGTGAACCAAAGGATTCTTGCAACTAAGACAACCTTTCAAACATTTGTTGCGCGAATGTGCTAAGGTACAGCCAGGCTTTAGATCCGTGCCTTCCATGTCACAGTTTTTGTTTACACAACGGATAGCACCATTACATCGTTTTGTCACCATTCGAAGACCAACGGCAATTACATAAGTAATGTAATACCATGTGTTCCATCCCAATTTTGTGCACTCCTCGACCTTGAAATCACCAGTAACTGAGTCTTTTGGAGGATAAATTTCGTCCTGGTAATTAATTACCAGGCGGAAACTGGTCAAACTTGGTTTTTCGCGGAGGTGTCTCAAGAACAGACTTGACAACGATTATACGTTTTGCTTGAAGCTAATGTATGTTATGTAGGATGTCGCGCACAGTTAGATATAACTCACGTAGTATAAAGCAGATGTAAAACGTAGATATTATTACCTTAAATTGGTAGTATGTGTCAAGCGGTGTTGTCGAAAAGACCGAGGCTATAGCAAGACAAACAAAGTTTGGGCGTGAAGCGTGACGCGGGTAGATGCTACTGTTTAACTCAGGGGTTCATGAAGTATCTACTGCATTACTGCACAAAGTCCGGCAAGTACTGCAAAAGATTACTGCAATTGCTGAGGCCCGCGCAAACACATATACTAATACACTGGTAAAAGACACATTATTACACTGCCTGAAATATCATTTGCATAAGATTCTCGCTTAAATATCATTTGCATAAGATTTTCGCTTAAATATCAAACAAAAGCATACCACGGCAATTAACACGGCAACCAGCTAAGCACTGTAGCATACAGACAATCCAACCGAATTGTGTAAAGCACGTAAACATTATACTCGGATGATCCAGCATATGTAAGGCTATTATAACCCGATATGGACTGACGCGATATGATGCATAGACGTATGTCATTTGTGATCTCTTGAATCTCTTATACGATCATTTATTAAGAAAGGGGCGGCTGATGATGCACTCAGAATGGATGTCTTGTCATCACAAGTTATATTGGCGAATTCAAATCCAAGAAAAAAGAAAAGTATCTGGGGTATGATAGCGGCTAGTGTTATGCATGTTGTTTAATATTTTATCACCAGGATGACTGAGCGTGTATTGGATTGGGTTGGGTGGATATGTGCTGAACACCGCAGCCAGCGTCTTCATCGGATCCAGTGAAACATTGTAGAAAGTCTCGGCCATTGTGGTGGCGTGTGTAACGAAAATAAAGAACGCTCTCTTATACGAGTATATGCCCACGGCAATCAGCGATTGCCGATCCTCCAAGCCCGCAATGATGGATGTGGGCAGCTAAAGCAGATTATAGAGCAGCATGGCTGCTTTCAGAATAGTATGCGCGTCATCCTAGAGCTATTATTATCCATACAGACTGCTTCTTCAGGTTGATATGATACTGTTGTTTGGTTTGCTCATTTAATCAACCACCTCCCTCAGCAGTAGCGATTCATAGTCAATCAGACGTGGTGTAACTTGATCAACGTATGTGTGGGTGATGTATGATGTATGTGGGAAGAAAACAAAATACATACAAAAAAAAAGCAAGATGGTCGGCTCGTACGAGAATCAAGCATGCATAATCTTAGCCTTGCTTCTATGTGGGTTTATGATTCCAGTGAAAGTTGTGCCATTATTTTTTCGGTTAATCAAGGTGTTGAAAGGGGCGTGGCAAACGAAACATACCATTAAACCCGTTCTCTCAGCTTAGAACAGCTTGCATTAAGCGCCGTTGTTGCTGGTGTGTATACCCTCCCAATAATTTTTTTTCCTTTCGATTATTTTCGCGAGCAGAACGACGCGAACACAGAAAGTAAAAAAAAAGTGAAAAAGGTGTACCAAAGAGTGATAAAGCGCGTTGTGATCGTATTACTGTCTGCTACGATACAGAAGATCTGTCATTGTTCCCCTCGTTGTTAGCACGGACCTGTGGATGGGGGGGGTTTAGGAAGCGGGATCTGAAACGTGTGCATGAAAAGGCACCCATTTCCGCAGCGTGTTGCTTCTTCGCTTTTTCTCTTCACGTGTGGTAAGTCCCTTCCTTTTCTCAGTGTGTGTGAGTGTGAGTGAGGGTTGGTAAGTGTAGGGGTGGGTGTTGATGCTTGTTTTGTAGGCACGGGGCGACTTCTAAGATAGGTAAGTGGATTGGTGAGACCGCTGGGCATCTTAATACCAATCGAACACTCCGAGACCCACAAAGCGACCAAGATAAGATCCAGCTTTGTGGTAGTGGGTTACGGGAGCAGATGTCGATGCACTCTCGTTTGTGGGCCAGCTTCTTTTAGAAATTTGACCAAATAAAATAAAGACCTTGTTGCTGTTGTCCCTCGTCTATTAAACATGTGCTGTTTGTTATTGTATTCAGTTTAAACAATGCTGCATATAAGCTTTCTTACCTCACCCAAGCTACACGTATTTTTACGATATGTATACTACGCTTTGAGACCCGAAGCAATATTTTCAAGGTTTGATAGCCTGTGAAAGGTCTGACGATGTTAAAATTCTAAATGATGCGCGCTATACCTTTAGTCAGGAGTGTCGTGTGGCAGATTTGTTACATATCTTCGAGAGGAGGCCCTTATTAGATAGCTCTGAACAATACACGTTTAAATATTTGAGCGTATGATAGGCAGCTATTTGCAGTCAATCTATGTGATCATGTCTACTTGATCTGTAACGAGAATACAATTTGATCAATCCACATAAACAGCTCCGAGGGTATGTGAGCAGGTATTGTTAATGAATGCTGTGGGCTGCGCGTTCGATGACGATCCAATTAAGCTAGTTTCCTCTTTTCATAGCCTGTCAAATTAATACACATGACGTGACAGTAGCAATACATACAATGTTTTATTATTGCTTGCTTGGACTTGAAAATTATGAAGAGCCAAGATCTTGGGTTGCACATCGACAGCACGACATTTTGTTCCTTGACATATACAGACGAAAATATAGCATAACAAACAATCTGCGTGAGAAATCAATTCAAAAGTCTTTGACACACTCGTTTGGTATCGGTCGAGAGGTTGACCATTAAGAGTTAATTTTTGTTCTACAACATCAAATTACTGGGTCGGTATAATCTAGGCGACAAGATTTCGTTTTAACCCTTCTCTATTCTTTTCGCTATGTAGACACATGATACTATTCGCTTGTCTTTCATCGAATAAATAGGACAGTGCATATAGTTTAAGCATTAATCGCATAAGATGGATGTAGTTTTCCACCAGGGTATGTAAAAGGAGTCATTATTACTACAGTTGTTTGGTAATAAGTCTTAGTTGTAAGTCAAGAAATTTCTCGGCGTACGAGCTTTTTTGAGTGTGCGTTGTCAACTTGGAAGATCTTTTGGAAACACACCCGTGTCGTGTGTATGATATTCTTTCTTCGTATCTCCCCTGAGTAGCTAATGACTATGATATGTATATGTCCGGCCGCTCCCTCGAATTGTATCTCTGCTATGGAAAATAGGTTGGTCAACTGAATTTCTCTGTTCTTTGGCCGACCATCATACCATAATCGCAAAGCAAAAGAAAGTAACTATCACTGACACAAACATAGTAAGCATAAAACATGACTTATACCCAAAACGATCGTATTTACCCAGAATTGCAGGAATACTCTTGATCGCCGCAATCTTATCGGACACACATCTTTATGCTATTCTTTTTTTCCAGTTGCACAAAAACTCTGGCCTTGGCTTGGAAGAATATCATGCTCATAAGGCCTTGACAGACTATCTGGAGAAAAATGGATTCACTGTGACCCGAAAAGCGCTCGAATTGGATACGGTATTCATATGGCCAAGAATACCAATGGTTTCGGCTTATGTGTTGGCTTATATTAACGTAGTCCCCTCGTACAACTCGCTTTTTAGAAATTTACAGATTGCAGTTATGTAAAACGATCATGCTGAGCTTTCTGATCTTAATTTATAAATAGATACCAATGATATATACTGTAAGATGCTTCGCCTAATGGCTGATCCAAAAAAAAAATGTAGAAGTTGGTGTGAGAAAGAACCCTCAATGCAGAGATGATATATATATACGTGGTTTATTAACTTGCTGCGAGCAGTTGATCACTGAAATGGCTGCATATAACATGCTGCAGGACATCGTACGGGCTCAAAGCTTATTTGTCGCTTCTCTTCTTATCTTTTTTGTTGGCGTTATCTGCATGCAATGTATGCAGAATACAGTATCGTCACTATAAGACTTTCAGAATAAAGATGGACGCTTTTTCTGCCCTTTCTCTTTACTCTTTACTTTTTTTCAATTGTAAAGCGCGATGATCCACCCGCTATATGTTCCATCTACAGTAAACGACTACGTCCAGACATGCCGTATTTCTGCAAGTAAAAAACGCGAATATCCATAGCCCTGCTTTTTTTTTCATTCTACTTTTGGCGAGCTCAATACAGCAAAGTACTGCTCAATGTCCTCTTAATAACTTTGATTCCTTATGTAACATTTTAAACATGTATTACTTTATTCGGAAAAGCATGTACGTCCATATACGCGCCTGAGCAACATTGCCACATATGTAAGAGATGCCCAATTCCTGAATACAGAATTCAATGCTTTCAATGAAACGACTGGAAAGAGCAAACGGGTTAACGTTGAAAAGCACAAAACATTATGGCTATCCAGGAAAACCCTGCAAAAGACGACGAAAGCGTAATCCTGCAAAGATGAAAATCTTAAAGGTATGGTCCAGCAGATATACCCAATGTGTACATTCATCAGGGCGATCCAAGAAGAAAAAAAGCACAGCATGTTGCATCTGACTTACAACAATGCATATTGTATATTTCATTTTGCACGGTGGCGCTCAGATGCCTGAGTTTTATATCATGTCCGGCGTTGGCGACGCATGCATCCGTACGTTCAAAGAGTTTTGAAATGCCAACGTCAAGTTGGGACTGAATGCATGTGGACTTTGGAAGAGACATGTAGCTCTCCAAGAACGTACACGTGCGGTGGTCCACGGCATTCGACGTCAAAACTCTGCACCATTCTTTGTTATGCACATGTTCGCACCTATCCCAAGAAGCGTGATTATGTCTTTGCTTTTGACGACATCATCCCGGACCTCATGAACGATAGTACAATCAGCTACGGCCAGCCAATACTCGGCCTGATGATCCATGGTTTGTTGGCCAAAAAAAAAAAGATCTATCCACCCCTTTGTTTTGGCTTGTCTTAGGGATATGGTTCTGATGTCGAAGATAGCAACGGAACAACATCGTCTAATCTTCATTCAACGTTATGACCTGCCCTTCTGGACATCCAGGAGTTGCAGGGAATGGAAAGACTAAATGACATTGCTGGGCGCTCTTTACAAAATCAATCAATGCGCGTTTTGGTCGACCTACCCTTCTGCTAACATTGATAATAACCGCCAACAACATCCATCCATGCTTTCTCGTTGAGCCAATGACGACAGTAAATGTCATCGGGGAGCAGTGTATCACTGTTCGCGTAGGGTCAAAGCGAACTTGAAACCACTACCGTACCTACCTAGCAAATTGCCCCTCTTGTCCCTTCCATCCTGTAGTACTTTGCCAAACATTGAGGAGGGCAGCCCCACCGTACTGTCAGCAAAATTGTTCGATAGTCCCGACATAACAAAAAGAAATCTCTTTCTCGCATCATACAAATGAACACATTCTATTAAAATTGTTGTAAAGAAAGGGGGGGAATATACAATAACAAGGTCTTATCCGTTTTTTTTTAACTTTTCATGTAATAATCAATCGCACAACTGAATGCAGCGAAGCCTGCGCAACCCAATGCCGCCGCCTGAGGACCTGCTCTTGCGGCAAGCACACCACCCGTGAAACATCCAGCAGCCATACTATTTCCGAGATCGTTCTTTGCTCGATACTAGTAATAAAGTAGTATTACATCAGTTTCCCTCTTTCTACCCTTCATCGTAGCAGGACAACGCTATGTGTGGCTAAAACCAGGAAATATAGCGTGGACTATTACCGATTCAATACAGCATTCTGAGCCCGAATAGATGGCACCGACCACAGCAAAGTTCTTGGCCATCGAGAAGGATCGAGTCTTCATATCCTTGAACACGGCCTTCATTTGCACTTTTGTGCTTTGCTCCAATAGTTTTGGATCCATGCTCGGACCAGAAAATTCAAAGGAGGACATGAATAGACCGAACGCAGCACCCATAGCACCACCTAGAAATAACCATAGTCGTTCAGTTAAAAAGATTTGTTATTCTATTTCTCCTTTTTATCACACTTGTTTATTATAGCTGTTCTACATATGACTTGTTTCAGCCTCTCTTACCTACAACACCTGCCATGCCGGTCTTGACAGGACATGACTCCATGGCGCCTTGAATCATTCGAATCTGTGCTTGTTCTTGCGGTGACATTTGCTGTTGTCCTGGACCTCCGCCGGTCATTGGCGTGCCACCCATTGTTGCCATGGTCTAATCAATACTACTATTTTTTTGTTGTTTAAGGTTGGGAGGGAGAGAAAAAATATATACAAGTGACAAGGCCGATACACAAAACACATTTGAAGCGGAGCTCGGTTTATGTTTGCGTTGTGGGGCTCGCATTTTTTCCTTTTTTTTTTTTCCTTGTCTTGTCCTTTTTTCTAGCCTGTGTTTTTTTTTTCTTGCTTTGCGGTTGCGTTCAAATCCTTTTGAATTTGACACATATAACTCTACTGATTATGAATTCAATTGTGTCCCACGATGAACGGAAAGAACAAGAGCAGAAAAACGAGCAGATCCTCTTGAGTGATCAGCACTGGGATTCGGAAGACGACGACGACGACGACGATTCTGACTACACGCCTGACCGTAAGTTTTCTTTTTGTCATGTGTAAAGATTATTCCTGGTCATATAGAAAAAGGATATCAACATGTTTTTTGACCTTTTGTAAATGATTTAAAGGCGATCATAATGATCTTGACGCGGAATCAGTCACGTCAGAAAACGAACACCAAGCAAAAGACGACGACGACGACGACGAGTGTTATAGCAGCAGCAGCGGCAACTCACCAGAAACTCCGGTTGACACGCCTGCCTCTTTTCTCTCCAAACGCAAATGTATTTCGCTCGAAAACAACAACCACGCGAACAAGCGGACAAAGTAAGAGGGCTTTTTGGGCCGTAGTATTGTCAAGAAGAGCGGTTTCAAGGTAAACTAATCAGCGCTTGTGCTACTATAGAGTAAATGACCAAGAACAAGAACGTCGTCGAGCAAAAGTGGATGCGATATGGGCAGAAATGAATCGAAAGGATGAGGATAAAAAGAAGCTGTCTGCAACAGTCGCAGTAGCAGAGAAGCAGCCGCTGGATGATATATCTTCTTCTGTCAACCGAACTTTATCATCTGCAACAACAACGATAACAACAACAACAACAGTTTCAGAAGCCAAAAGGTAACATGATTATCATACTCATACAAGGCTGTTGGGATGTGATCTAGAACCTTTTGTGTGTGTGTGTGTGTGTGTGTGTGTTTTATTTGACACTCAATGTATCGTTCCTAGTAGTACGACACCATCGACGAATGGTGGTACAACGAATACGAGTGCTCCAGTCACTGCTGCTGCTGCTGCTGCTGCGGCACCGACCACGACGAAAGCACCACGCAAAAAGATTGTACGACCCAAGTCGACATTGTCTGCATTGGTGTCGCAGTACAACATCAAGGTGCCCAAGATGAACACGCTGGAGAAAAGCCGTCTGGACTGGCAAGGGTACGTAGACCGCGAAGGGATCCGCGATGATCTGAAATACAAGAACAAGGACGGCTACATGGAGAAAGTCGCGTTTATGCAACGCGTCGATGACCGTCGCTTGTCCCACCTCAAGGCTGGTCAAAAAGCAACCAATAATGCCAAAAGATAAGAAGAACAAAAAAAAACTCCCCTCCCTCTCTAACTAGTACACTCACCCAATCCCCCCCCTTACATATTCCTCCTCACTAAACCAAAAAGTTCCCTGTGTATATCTCCATCTCTCTCTCTCTCTCTCCAAGAACAGGGTCTCCGTCCGCAACAGCAAAGAAAAAAGCTACCCCGTTCCTACCGTTATACATATCTAAAATGTTTCTCCACCCCTCTCTCTCTCTCTTTTCCCCATTCTGCTTTCTCAGAAGGATAAAGTCAGTCGAGCTGTGCTGTAATTACGAAAAAGAAGAAAAATTTACTATAAATACATATTATATACATATATATATATATAAACAACACTCTCTTATATACATAAAAACAAGCCAGAGTCGGGTAAGTTTATATATAAAAAAAAGAGCAGCTTTTACTTGGCGCCTCTTGTACTCACACACACACACACACACAGGGAAAAAGTGGCGTTTTCCATCCCCTCCCATTTTGCCGAATCGAGCGAATTTTCGTCAAAAATGGGGTTCCAATATCGAAACCTAAAAATACTAATGAATGCATTCAATCGGGTCTCTTTTTTTTTTTTTTACTGCTTTTGAGCTCTTTTTATGATGCGGACAACCAATCGTAACACCGAATGCGTGCCACTCGCCCACTCTCTCTCTCCCTTGAAATCCTTATAAAAATACGTCGATCCCTTTGTGCCTCTCTTTCTTTTATCATACCTCTTTTCACCTATTGTATATCTTGTTTTCATGCGGTCTTTACCATTATTACCATCATTACTGCTCACTGTAGTAATATCACTTATTGCGACAACAGTGAAAGCACAACCGAATCCTCACTATGTAGCGTTGTTGAACGACTCCATGTGGTTCTATGAAGCACAACAAAGCGGACGACTCCCTTCAACACATCGTGTACCTTGGTAATTAACATTCACTCTCTCTCCATTTCAGCTCCTTGGACATTCCTCACCTTTTTTTTTCCCCTTTTCAGAAACATTTTACTCGAACAAAGTGTAACCATAAAAAAAAACCTTATTCTTTTTTTTATTCCACATAGGCGAGGTGACTCAGCACTCAATGACGGTAGCGATAACAACATAGACTTGGTGGGCGGTTATTACGATGCAGGGTACAAAAGAAAGATACAAACATTGGCGTCAAACATGTGAGTGCTAAACATCGAGCTTTTATGCATGCAGAGACTATCTCAAGTTCACGTTACCACTATCCCATTCTATTGCATTAATTGCATGGGGAGGCATTGAATGGTTCGATGGCTATCAAAAAGCCAACCAAACCGAGTACCTCCGTAACACGGTCCGGTGGGGAACGGACTGGCTCATGAAAGCGCATCCTAGCGACAATGAGCTCTACGTCCAAGTAAGTTTGTGCTACAGTTACCATTTAAAATGCATGCTGATCCCTGTTGTATTTTATATATTGCTTATTACAGGTGGGTGATGGCGAGATTGACAACAATTATTGGGGTATGTGTTTCTCAAAGCATAGTAAGGAGAGTAGGCAGTTGATGAGATTGTTTACCTTGCATGATTATTATTATTATTATTATTATTAGGACCTGACACGGGTATACCCTCGGACCGCCCGTCGTACAAAATCACATCCGACGCGCCAGGCACCGATATTGCAGCACTCACTGCAGCCGCCTTTGCAGCCTCTTCCTATTTATTTCGAAACCAGCTAAACGACACCAGCTATGCCGACGCGTTGCAAAGCCATGCCGAGTCGCTGTACAACTTTGCCGAGACCGCACAGCCCATGCAACTGTACACAGAAGCCGTTTCCGCATCCAAAGACTATTATGAAGCCACAACCTACACAAGCCCACTCGTGTTTGCTGCGCTGTGGCTTTTCCGTGCCACTGGCAACACCAGTTACCGGGACAAGGCGTCAAACTACTTTGATCAGTTCAAGTTGGGGTCAATGCAGGTGGATGTCATGGATTGGAGTGACCAGACCGGTGCGGTGTATGTCCTGGGTGCCCAATTGGATGGGAGCAATACGAAATACAAGGATGCAGCCAAAAAGTATCTCGATACTCTGATCAACGGTGGTGATCCCTGTTCCTATACCAGTGGTGGATTGTTATGGTGTGGCGGTGATAGCGATCTCAATTCGTTGGTCCCTGCACAGGACACGGCCCTGTTGGCGTTGTTGTATGGCAAGATTGATTCACCCGAAGCGGATTATACCGACTTTGCCACTAGTCAGATCAAGTACATGTTGGGTGACAATCGCATGTAAGGAGAAAACGATAACACGTTTTGTTTTTTCCACAACAGAAGCTGACGCTTTTTATTTATTTAGGCTGACGCCCTATGTATGCGGTGTGCATATGAATTCGCCACACAACCCACACCATGCTGGTGCATCGGGCGGCACAGATATTAGCAACATTGAAACCTCTCCACCCGAAGAAAAGTATCTTTTATATGGTAAGGAAACGTTTGTTTGTTTGTTTTTTCGCATGTGAAAAACAAATGGTTGGAGGGGGGGGACACATTTTTTTTTCAAAGGGTGATTTTTTTTTTTTTTTTTGGCGCGCAAACATGGGAGGAGGGCACAACTCGGGTTGTTGTTGTTTCTTTGTTTGGAAAGCGCAACGTGGCTCCACCCCCTTTCGCTTGTTTGTTCCGTTTGTATCACGAACAGGAAATAAATTATGTGTCTATAGGAGCCATTGTCGGTGGACCAGATCAAGAAGATAAGTTTTATGACGAACGCAACGACTGGGCCCAGACCGAAGTGGCTTTGGTAAGTTTCCTGCTCATGATTCGATGCCACACTGACTAGCAATAGAATATTCGGAGGAGGGGGAGAAGGGAAAACCTTGAAAGAAGGTGAATAGCCATACAAAAAATTAACGTGCTTCTATGTCTACGCTTAGGATTACAATGCACCGTTCTTGGGCCTTATTGCACGACAACTTAGTGCGGACACGACCGAAGACCCGCCGTATGTCAGTATCACAGAACCAAGACCCTATGTCACTCGCTCGGTTCGTCTGGAGAAATGGCTGGTAGCCGTGATTGTCATTGTCTGTATTTTTGTTGTTGCTGGCTTACTCTACCTGTGTTGGTGCAAACGGCATGCGATGGCTAATTCTTGGCGAGCAAAACAAAATAACAAGGCTGAAGCTGTATAGAGCTAGTACTACTACATAGGGTTTGTTTTTCTTTTTGTTTAGAGTAATTACCACTTATTACATCCTCGAAAAAAATGTTTCTTTTTATGTAGTTTTGTAAATTACTCAAAATTGTTATAAATTTAATTTCGAAAGATATTCTTTCTATGTCCCGCGTCTTTTTTTTAATAGAATGATGAAAAGCAAAAAAAAAAAAAAATGAATAATAGATCTACTACATTACGGTTTGATGTGATGGGAAGAGAGAGGAGGGCATGCATGATACACATAGTATAATATACGTTTCAAAATGAGAGGAAAGTATTAGGAAAATACATTAAGTTAAACTTTTTTCAAAAAGGTTGTAAAAGAAATCTAGATTTTTTTTTATGGGAGAAGAGGGATGGAATGCATAGAATGAATGTGTGTTAAATGGAGAGATGCGTATGGTATGGTATGGAGGTGGGGGGCGCCAGAAGAAGTAAAGATATGTACATGTAAGATAAAAAGGAATGAGCATGAGTGTTTGTTTGAATCAATAAAGAGAGGTAATTGCATAGATTTGTAGGAAAGAGAGAGAGAGAGAGTGGTGTGTGTGTGTGTATATGGTATGGATGCGTGTGCGTATGCGTATGCGTTGTAGTATATGTGTATATGCGTTTTTTAAGTAAAGAAGAAGAATATAGAAGCGTCAATAGATGCTGTGTAGGTGATAATAATAAGGATAATAATAAGAGATGCAGGGGAATAGAAGAGGTTTTTGCGAGTGTTGTTGAAGAAGGGGGGGGTAATAAGAAGAAGCGGGGATAAACAAAAAATATGGATTGAATGATGATGATGAAATGCTTATTAACTTTAAGCTGTAGACAAAAAGGATTGCCAGAACCCGTTGTTGTTGTTGTTGTGATTGTGATTGTGGTGATCGTTAAACTCTTGTGGGAATTGCTGCATCTGATGCATCTGCTGGTGCTGCTCGTGTACTGGTGGCTGCATCATCGCCATCCATGAAGATACGGCTTGGTCGTTCATCACCATGGCTGCAGTCTCCTGCTGCTGCTGCTGCTGCTGTTGCTGTGGCTGTGGAACGCAGGCGCACATGGGCTGTTGTTGCAGCAATTCGTCAGCATAAAAGAACTTGCTCTCGGCGACCTGTTGCTCTGGTTGTTGTTGTTGTTGGATATAAGAAAGATAATGAGGAGTTTCGGTGTTGACGGTGGTGGTGTTGTTGGTGTAAGGAGCAGGGGGGTAGGACAGAGACGAACAGGATGAGATTTCGGGTGGCAACAAGCCCAGAAGCTGTTGATCATCCCAAGAAAAGTTGGCTGACAAGGGCGATTCGATGGTGGTGGTGGTGGTGTTGGGGGCAACAAGGTTGCTGTAGCCATAAGCCATGTCGGCGGAAAGAGGCGAGCAGCTGGCCAGGGGTGATTCCTGTTGCGTCAAGGGCGGGGTCGTATCGTATTGTTGTTGCTCCTCATCCCAAGAAGTCATGTTGTTGTTGTTCTCCATAGCAACCGTAGTAGCTGTTGCCATAGTAGTAGCAGCAGCAGCATTTGTTGTCATGGCAGCAGCAGCAGCAGCAGCAGCAGCTTGTTGTTGCTGTGTTCGCTTCTTGTAAGGGCCACGCTTGACACCCTTCTTGCGTTCCTTGCGGGGCGAGTTGATGCACGTGGCAATCAAACCAAGCTTGATGCAACGCTGGCAGGGACGGCCGTCGTCACATTTCTTGCACGCCTTTTGACAGTTCACTAGGAACGAATAAAAAAAAAATAAATTAGCAACACAATAAGCGGACATTGAATAAATATATAAAAGTCCAAAACCCGAGAAAAAAAAAAACAAAATATATCGGGCCGTGGTGTAGTGTTTGTGCAACGTTGAACAAGACGAAAAAGAAAAATGAAATAAAAATAGCTTACCACATGCGTTTTTGACTTGTTTGCGCTTCGGTCGTTTCCGGTTGCCAGCAGCACTGGCAGCAGACGCAGCAGAAGAGGAAGAGGAGGATGAGAATGAGGAAGATCGGGTGGCGGATTTGTTTGATTTCGTAGTAGAGGTGGTGTTGTTGTTGTTGGATGATGCTGGTGATGATGATAAGGGAAGTTGATGATGAGGTTCTTCGAATGTTGGCGGTGGCATCATTTGTTGATGTTGATGTTGTTGTTGTTCTTGCATGTAAAAGTAGGGCTCGGCGTAAGTTGGAGCAATAAAGTATTCTTGATTGTTGTTATTGTACTGCATGGTCGATCGGTGTTAAGGTGGGGTGGAGAGTGATGAAAAGAACAAAGAAAATAGAGCTGTAAGATGTGGTGCTGGTATAGAAAATCTGAGATCTGGTAGAAAAGGTTGCTGTTGAGAAACAATGAAGATGCGTAAGTAGAAAAGGTTAAAGAAGAAGAAGAAGGAGTTGCTGTAGTTGCTGTTGTTGTGAAAGTAAAGAAGAGTTGTTTAAAAGAAGAGTAGCGTAGGCCGTGGCAAGGTAGAAACAAAAAAGAAAAAAAAAAGAAAACGGCAAGTTGTCAAGTCCTTTTATATATTGTTTGCAAAGCAACCCTATCCTATATCTATAATAGGCCACTGCCTTGCCCCAATTAGCGTTGTACAACCATTTTTATTGGTGCGTATGCATTTTGCCGAGAGCCTTACAGCGTCCTAATTGGTCTCTCGAGTCTTACTTTTTCACTTTTTTATCTGTTGTCCTAATCTACTGCTTCCCTACAAAATGGGGTCCGTTCACCTAACCCATCCACCCTTTCGAGCGACCCGAAAAGACAACACTGATTGGTTAGACTTGAGCTTTTCCCGGGTTGTTCTTTTCCTTTGGATTCTTTCTCTTTTTTGCCGTCCTTTTTTGCAACACAAGGAACGTTCCCCCCCCCACCAAGCCCAACCCCCTGGGTTGCAGGCAGTAGTTACCTTTCATAGACACAATGGCGAGTGTCTGTGTACGACAAAAAAAAAAAAGTTATCGGCTAATGGTTTAAATGACGATGACGAATGCTAATACTTTTGAGCTTGAATAGAAACAAAATTATAGGGGAATCATCATCATTTTCTTTTGCTAAACAGACTACTAAGCTTTTTTTTTTTTTTTGGGTGGATGGGGGGAGGGGAGAAAGGGTAATTATTGACCTGCGTGTATATATTCTGTATGCTTACTATATCTGTATAAGATTCGGCTTGGGGGGGGGGCAGAGGGGAGGGGCCCAAAGTGGATTTGGGGGTGGGGGAGAGAGAGAGAAGGGATGCAAGCATACGTTCTTCGTTGTAGGGTCGAGAGTGAGAAAGAAGAGAAAAGAACGAGGAGAAAGACTCGGTTTCTACAATGGGGTGTGCCGGATGCACGATGATATGGGCAAGTCCCTTTTTGGACACAGAGGCTGTGTGTGCATGATGCAGCCTTTTCTTGTCGATTACTACCAAGACTGCTGCTGCTGACTGCTGCTGGTACTACGTACTTTGTACATGCATACTACATACGACCAGCCTTTTGCCGATCGCGGAAAATGGGTCAAGCACCAAAAAAGGATGGTCCCCCAGTTGCCTTTTCCTTCCAACGCACGTTTTTCTTACGGAATCGATGCTTCTAATTAGTTATTGTGCTTATTCAGCATGTCCGCATTACAAAAAACGACTTATACTTTATGTCGCGTGCTACAAACCACCTTTTTTTTTTCTTTCTGCCACGCGAGCAAAGTCCAGCTACTACTAGTAGTACGACTACTAAGCATATGCTTTTTTTCACGGCGGTCCTTCCGCCCAATTTGTGTTCTTCTTTGACCTTTCTATTCTTACCTGCTGTGCTTTTTGGCTTTGCTTCGGTCGCACCCGGCGCACGCACTTATTTCACCACGTTTCAATAAATCAATGTGTAACACCACCAGCAGTCTAACATTCTCTTTTTTTCCTCCAACCATCCCCTCCCCCCCCCCACGCTATTGATATCGCCAATAGTAACGGTTAAGCGAGTGTGTGTATCGTCCCGGCTATCGCCTGCAACAATGGCTAATTAAATATGCCAAAAATAAAGAGACAGACAGCCAGAGAAAGAGAGAGAGAGAGGCTTATTACGACGCTTAAACAGATTGAAGCGGATAGCTTAAACTTTTCCCTCTCTAATTATGCATGCTTCATACTACGGCCCCCTTTCCCCGCGCGCATACTACACTCTACTACGATGACTACATACTGTCACTGTGTACACAATGAAAAGACAAACAAAAAAACCAACAGGGCCTGGACCGTTTTGATTTACTTATCAAACCGTGTTCTCTGTCAAAAGCTGTCTTTCCAACAACAATCAAATATTTCTACCACTTTTCTTGGAGAGGCTCTTCCCCTTTTTTCCTTGATCTGCCACCCAATGAATCCACTGTTTTGTGCCTCCGCCTCCACCCCCTCCTCCCTTAAACCAAGGGTTCCTTTCAAAACGAATGACGAAAAAGTCAAATCAATAACTTGGAACGGTCTGGGGGTGGGGTGAGGGAGTGAAAAGGAACGTAAAGAGAAAAATAAACACCATTGAAGGGGGTGGGGGTTGTACAGTGTGTTGGTTCCGGAGAACGTCAGAAAAAATGATCGCAAACAACGTGGAGGACCTCTCGACTGAATGGTTTGGAAAGAAGAAGGTAATATGTAACCTTAAAATCTGAGTTACGAGTTTGTTTGTCATTCCGCCTTCGCATGGGTGCTCCTTAATAAAGCAAAAGCTGCTTATTACCATAGTATGTTCCCGCAATTACTATCATAGCAGCAGCAGCAGCAGTTAATAGTAGCAGTATTGGAAAGAACGTTCCTTTTTGAACTTATGTAAGCGTCAATCCATACGCTCACAAGGCAACGAAAAGGGTGCGGAACGGAAAAATGGGTTTATTGGCCCTTGTTTTTCTAATTCACTGCTACCAGTGCTGCTGCTGCTGCTGCTGTACGTACTATTACTATGATAGTAGCACCCTTTGGTTTCTGGCTTTGCGTCTATTTGTTCTAAATGTGCTGTAGGTAAGGGGAAGAAGGGCTTCTTCTATTGAAGTTCCGACGTTCTTTTTTTTTTTTTGGCACGCGGAATGACATATGTGAAGGAAGGGTCTGTGCATCAGGTTCTGGATCGTCCATGTCATGTAATGTGTGTGTTGTTGTCGTTTCTAAGCGACCAAAAAAGAAAACAAGCAAGGTAAACGAGATTACCCATACATGTAAAGGATCTGCCTATACGTTTATCCTCACCCCCCCCACCCGACTATTTACAGCACTGCTGCGTCTCCCTACTAAAAGCACTTGTCCCATTTTTGGGGAATAATGCTTGATGCTACGCTATGTATGTGCACATAGGCGCACTCCACAATAAAGCGGCACATCAAGTACAGAAATGACGAGGAGCAGCAGCAGCTGTTGCTTCATGGGAAATAGATGCACGATGACGTTACAGTGCATCATGCTCAATGAAAAAAAAAAAAAAAACATGCTTATTCAAGCATTTCAGCACGCACGTCTATGCTACACACGCCCACATACCGCAACATCTGTTGTCCAAGCCTCCTTTCAAAAAGACGGATCGACAGCACCTTAAAGCCAGAAACCCGACAAACCCCCCCCCCCACTCCCTTGAACTTTGTGGGTTGCACCGTAGTACGTATAGAGACAGCAAGAGGGCGGGCGATGATGGCATAACGTCATTTTTGCTAGAATATGGAAAGTAACGTTTGAAAACAGGGGAGAAAACTAAAAGGGGAGGAGAGAGAGAGAGAGCGGATGCGAAGAAAAAAAGGGAAAACCCCCGTTTTCTCTCTTTTAACACTTTTCGCGTTTTAATATCGGTCACGAAAAATTGGAACCAGCCCACATCGATAATACTACGACTACGAACTCCTACTAACCGCTCCAGGGTTTCCCGCGTGGCCGTGTTCTTTGGGCAAATACAAGCACAAATGCCTTGGGGTGTAGGACAAACTTAAAGGATACACAGAGTAAAAGACCCCAACCATCATGTTCTACATGGACGATTGACTTTTTTTTTTTTTTTTCTTCAAACTGATATGATAGTAAAACGTCAGTTGAAACTGAATGGCCAGTATATGTATGACAGTCGTGTACTAGCTAGTAGGATAATACTTAATGAGAGCATCTATAAAGGCACAAAGGCCGAGACTTGTGCCATCAAACTACACTTTACGTATGTATATAGCCACTACATGTGGATCTGAACTAAATCGACATGATTATTTCTCAGCTGATAAAATTATATCATATCGATCGCGTCTGTATGTACTATCGATATTGTAAATTCTAGGGTGGCTCTTTTTGTATTTCACTTGGGGGAATGTTGTTTTAAAAAAAGAGGGCAGTATAGTGAAATCATTATTAGACCTTTTCTTAGCACGAACACGTCGTGAAACCCATGTCACGAAAGCATTATGTACAAACTACTAAATAGAGCAGCGCGGTATACAATAGCCGTTAATACATGTATCATATCTATAAATACATTCTTCGAAACAATCACAAGCAGCACATGTCATCCAAAGTAACCAAAGTTAACGTGTTGGCACATATACAAAAGTACTGAGAACAAAAAATATTCCTCGCTATGTGTTGCAAATTGTGACAACTAAAGAGCCCTTGGTGAAAATAAGTAGTAGTAGTAGTAAGCGCATCCGACAAGTTGCCTTTCGGACACCCCAAGAGGACCTTCCAAGACCCTGCAAGATCCTCAAAAGAAGGCCCAAACGGTAATCTGAGTACATAAGAAATGATATTTTTCATGTTTATTACAAAAACGATGACATCATGCGCCATTGACAGAAGAGGCAGGGGGAGAGTTCTTTTGGTTCTTTTTGAAGGAGGCAGATAATAAACGGAAGGCGAAAAGCTTTGTAGGAGAAAAGAAGACAGCCCTCGGTCTACATATCAGCCACTCAACTAAATGGGATGCTGCTCTACTAAAGCAACCAAAGATACCATCACGTCATTCGCCATAATCAATACCATCGGTGAAAGAGGGTGGGGGGGGGAGGGTTCTTTATATATAAAGCATTTCCCAGTGTTTCCTAAAGACAAATTTACCGGTCCCTTTACATACTACCTGCCAACTTTTTGCAATTAACCATACCCGTAACTAATAATTGATTTCATTTATTAAGCATAATTGTCACTGTGTTCTTTTTTGTGATTTGACATGTGAAAAGTGAGAAGGAAACCACGAGAAAATAAACAACAGCTTATAAAAAATTGCGTGCAGCTCTTGTTATTACGAAAAAACCCCAATGTAAAGTTGCTCTTTTTGTGTTAAAGAGCTGTATTATATAATTTAGACATTTTTTATTTGTATTTTTTTTTTTTTTGGTGGAGGGGATGGGTTTATACAAAGCAGGGAAATAAAAAAAACAGTGTAGTTGTATACTACAACACAATTAGCAATAATCGTTTGTGCCAATCCACCGTTAGAGCAGCTGTAATAAACAAGCTACATTACAACATACTGCCATTATCATCATCATCATCATCATTGTGGAAGGGTGGTTTCTAGCAAGTAAATCTTCTAAGCTCGGAGTATAAGGACAAAAAAGAAGTGTTCATGACCGATTCTAACGATGGGGGTATAGCAGTGCTGCTGTCATGGGTTTTTGGTAAGAGTGGGGTCTCCAGAGAAAAGTATAAAGATAGATATGGTACAACAAAGATGTAAAACACTATTCTGGGATATATTCAAAAGGGCAAGAAGGTATAATGTTGTATACGTGTGTGTGTGAGAGAGAGAGGGACACACCTTTCATCTGTTTTGTTACAGATCGTCCGGATTCCAGTTTTCTGCAACCTTGTTCTCTCGCGCTTCTCGTTCAAGATTGGCATGATCCAACCAGGCATCGGGCTGCATGATGCGAGACAATCGATACTTGACGCCAAGGTACGAAAGATAATTGTTCTTTGGAAACACGCGTACTCGTTTCACGTTTGGAAAATGCGAGTCCGAAACGTCAACAAAGGTACCACCCAATGTCAAAGTTTGTTCGAGCTTGAGTTGGTTGGGTGCGTCGAATGGGACCCATTTTTCGTTCAAGAAAACGAGCCATGTGAAATAGGATATGGAGGGCGGTGATGATGATGAGAATGTTGTTGTTGTTGTTGTGGCAGTAGTAGAAGAGGAGGACCCAGTGGTGGTGTTGGTTGGTGGCAATAACGATGGTTGCTGTTGAAAGTATTGATGCTGTCTAGTCGTAGTCGTAGTCGTGTTATTGTTGCTGTTGTTATGGGTTATAGGAATGGGTATACTGTTGCCATTATGGTTTCGGGGGTCCATTGGGGCCGTGGCCACGGTGTATGGTGGTGACGGCGGCAGTGTGGATGTGAGTGGTCGTCGATTGTACTGGAGCGACGATCTTTGTTGCTGCTGCTGCTGCTGTTGTTGTTGTTGTTGTTGTTGTTGTTGTTGACGTTTGTTCATGATTTCGTTTGTTCCTAAAGGACCTAACAAGTATGCTGATTTTTTCAAAGATCTACTTGTACGTCGCATGCGAGCGACATTCTGATTACCCGACGGTGGCGATGACGGTGACAAAGTGGCGGTGTTGGTCGACGATGGGGTTCGATGTCGGTGAGAATGGTGATTGTAAATGGGAGGGAATTCGGAATACGAGGTAGTGCTCATGTATACGTGGGTGTGGAATGAATAAAAAGTCGTTTCTAATGTGGAAATGTATGTATGTTGTGCGTTGTTGCAAATACAAAGTGTATGTGTGTAAGGTTAATCTATGGTATCAAAGGGATAATAGAACATGGTTGGTAAGAGAGTATGCACATTTGTTTCGAGAGGTTCTATCTCTCTTCCTCCACCTAGTATATACACAGCGTATATATTGAACAGAAAGAGATACCACACAGACAGAACGGTTTGTCTACTACATACGTCTTTTAAAGAGTAATATCCTTTTTCCAGCACGGACACCGTGAGAAGTGATAGTGTATATGGAATAAAAGTAGTGATGAAAAAAAGAGAGAGAGAGAGAGAGAGGGAAAAAGAGGAAAGCGAGTCGTCAGACGATGTAAAGGGCAAAGGTGTCTCTTATATACTGGAGGGAGAATCATTTCACCTTGTGGAGTCCTATCATGACGAACATGCCAACCAGGCTTATTCTACAGTGTGTAATGGAACCTATTTCAACCGAGGCACGGTGGATGTCCTATATTCTTGCACTACCATCATTCATCAATTACCACCCCCACTTTTTCTCTCTCTCTCTCTCTCTCTCTCTCTCTCTCTCTCTCTAGATAATCACCGCTGCCTAATACTACGCTTCACAAAGGAATGGTTCTTTTGGTTATCATGGGTGTGAGTAGAGTTGTGTGCCACTCATGAGATTGATCACGGGAACCCTTTTTGTTGTTTTCTGTCCAACCTAACATGCTCTCTCTATTACCAGGGTGTACTTGTGTTGTATGTATACATACCAAGAAGATCGCTGTGCTTTCTCTCCGTCAAACCTAACACTGCTCTTCTTCTAGACCTGGTAATCAAAGATTGTTGATTGGAGAACGGTTCTTAACGATGGCGGGCAAAGTGTTACACCTACTGTAAGGTGGCGATATACGTTACGTACTTATCCCTCGGTCCGCCAAATGATGTAATGATTTTTGATCGCTAGAAATCAGAGGCCACGGGACCTCCCGAGTATAAAAACAACAACAACAACAAAAGTGACATGCAGGAATTGATAAAAAAAACGTTGTTGTTCGTTTCACGGGTCTGTCTCTCTCTCTCTCTCTCTCTCTCCCCAGCCTCATTCCACCTTCATTTGCACCCTCCCTCCTTCCCCCAAAAGAAAGAACACGAATCATCTGGCCAACTCCTCCATCTATAACACGCACACACACACACACACACACAGCAGACCAAAAAAGAACACGGGTGAGCTTTTAAGCCTTGCCCACTATGGCTACATAACAGCAGAGTGTGATAAGTACATATCACTCTGTGTGATTGGAACAAGATCATCACCCTTCTTTCAGTCTTGATTGAAATGTCGCTTTTCTTCTGATCGGGGTGAGTCGGGCTTCTAGAAGGAAATGTAGAATATAGCTTATCAACAAACAGTTCCTCTTTTACTTTCTGCATGTGTTTGATACTATGCTTTTCGTGAATCACCCTGGAGTTCCTCCTGTAATCAGTAAGAGCCTTCTTCCCCACTGACTCTATCTACATTGAGCCTTCTATTAGTAACAACCTTAATGATTTTTATGCGGATCCATCCCAGAATAGGTAACCATGAATTTTACTACAACCGGAGCGTAGCATCAATTTTGAGTTGCGCAAGGCATCAAAAGGGTTTCCCATGGCTCTCTCTCTTCTATTCAACCTCTCCCACCTTCCTCCCCCCCACCCCACCCTGCTATAGACTCTTTTTTTTTTCTGCAATGCATTTACACAAATCAACCTCATCGCTACTATATCCATCTTTTATTTTCATATGATGATTTACCCACGATCTTCAGAGAATGAGTGACATATCCCACTTGTAGTAGTGTATACGCTATGTCTCGCAAAATTCGCTCTACAATACAGTAGCATATCTAGAGCTATCATTTTTCGGGTTGGAAGATACAAACCCTCTCACTTTTAGATTTGCTTTGCGGCGTAGCACTTTTACTTTCTCCAGTCTGTGTTGCACAAGAAATTCAAAGAGCACAGAATTTGAAGCTAACAGTAGTAGTAGCTCTGGTTTTTCCTTGTTTTGTTGAACATGGTACATTATATGCTGCGCGCAGGTGGATTATAAAACATATACCCACGGTACTTTGTGGTGGGTGACATGCGTGGGTAGCATCGTCAATGAAAAAGGCATACACCTGGTTGTCGCAAGAGCATACTCCACACACAATCCCTTATTTCTCCAACTCCATCATTGAGGGACGACTACCGTATGAAAAAGTTGATCTAAAAGAGAAAAGAGCGGGGGCTCAGCACCAAAGCCCTATAAGCACTGGACAACACAAGGAAAGAGGCTGGAACCTTCTTTCCTGTCCTTGTCATAACTAATAAAGAAATTTACAATATAATTAGCGTTGCATTGCCGACTCTGCTGCTCTTGCTTTTGAAGGCTGTTATTGTGCTACTTTGCCAATTCTTATTTCCTCGTGATATATAACACAAGGGCGCGAGGGGACAAGATATAAAAAAACCGGGCAAAAAAGGTAGCACATGAACTTTATTGTAATGGACGATACCTATGGAGCACAGAACGTGTACATAACTTTTTCTTTCTTTTGCATGAAGCAGTGACGCTCAAAAGGTGACTCTTTAGCATATATATTGTTGACGACACGATGGTATAACAACGAATAGAAAAGCCAAGAATGACGGTGATGACAGGTTTGACTTTAAATGTCATGAATGTGTAAGTTTACAAGGGCTGAAACACAACAAACAAAAAGGATGCTTCTTTGTTAGTATTGCCATCTACTAGGAAATTAGCCAAAATAAATTGCTGATGTATTGGTTCGTAATGCTCCTTGCTCTTCTTCTATTACTACTACCTGTTGCTGCTGATGTCGTTACCCAACAAAAATGTAATAATCGTTGGTTATACAGGTAACAACTTTTATCTTGTCCTCACCCCCATTCTTTCTATTCACCAACCGCATTTAGTGATATTGAGGTTGCAAAAAGACCCGCATGACCCCAGCCACTTGGTTGTAGAGAAAAGGTCATGGGGGCTTGTTCTTCTCCTGCTGCCCCTCTACACACACACAGCTTGGGAGTATGCTGTGCGTGATCTTTCAGATACTACACAATTTGATAGTAGCATCCCTATCAAAAGTAGCGTTCTACATACATTAACTGAATGATTGGTACAGTACTGGGCATCTACTATATGACAAAATGGTTTAAAATACCTGTCATCAGTCATGTCAACAGGTTCTCTCTTTTCCTGGTGTATACACAACATCCCATGCAAATGCAGCTGTTCCAAATGGAATATATCTAGACAATGGATGAAGGAAGTATATCATGTAACAACAACAACCAGAGCAGCACTTGACAATGACTGACGCTCATTCTTGATATTTGATCGTATCAAGAAGCATGTCATTGGTCAGTAATAGCAATAGCTCCATGGACAGACAGATGAAACTGTAATACTCTGTGTATGTACAACACTTCAAAGTACATAGCATGACGATGAAGAATGGTTTTTCAACACAGACCTTCTCTCTGTCTCTTTCCTCTTTCTTTTTTCTAACCCGTAGGCTTACTCTCGCCTTCAGCATTCACCCTATGGATTGTCCTACATCGGCATTATCAACAGAATCCGGAGCATTTTTTTTTTTCGTTTGTGTGAATTTCAGGGCCCTTGGTCACAGGACGACGGAAAAGAGGAGGAAGAAGAAGGATGTTGAGCCATGTCAAACGTCATATGGCACAGACAGGCCCCTTTCCTTCCTTCTTTCCTACCACTTTTAATGCATATACTGAACCTGTAGCTACATCAAAGCAGAGAGAGAGAGAGAGAGAGAGAATCAAACTTACATTCCAACTTGAATGACTTTTAAAAGAGCACCAGTTAGCAATAAGGACATGCAACAGTTAAAAGATTGAGGCCCCCAACTAGTCACTCTCCCCAAAAGTGCAGTACAAAAATGATGATGTACAGGGCCCAATAACATCATGATGATGACTGACTGAGTGATCTGGCTGCTTGTCGGCCTCACTACAACATTTTCTTATCGATAGGGATCAGTCTTTCCAAAAAAAGGAAAAGTATGGTTTGTGTCATGGTGGAACTCTCTATTCTACTAATTGATTTCATTCTCATTGTACAGTGGGCGCTGCCGATCATCCTACATCAGCAGCAGTTGCTCACTCAAAGTCACCATTAGTAGCAAGAAGAGTTATCTGTGGTGCGGGAGGGGGGCTGATTATAATGGCTGGCAAAAGAAAAACAAAGTTTTCTACACACACCACCGCGCCATATATACATACCTCTTTTCTTTTCAAATGATACATGCGAGAAAAAGATGAAAACAGTTGTTTTGTGTGTATATCGTTTTTTTGGCATGTGTATACTTTATCCTATGTTTGTCATGATCATTGTTTGGCAGTACATACAGGAATAAATACTGTATCACATAAGCAGCATTACAGTCTAGCCCTCCAGTCTCAAAGGTCAAGTTTAATCGATTGGTAGTAATATGATATACCTCTTGATTACTTTCCGAAGAATCACCTGAGAGAGAGAGAGTGAGTGAAAGAGAAAAGAATAGGGTTTATCATGAAAGAGGTATAAAAGAATCCCGACTTTATATGATGCCACGTGGTGGTGAGGGCCATACATAGTTTTCAGGGGTGGAGCCACGACATCCCGTGACATCCCAGAACAGCCCCAATTGTTTCGCTCTATGTATGTGTACCATAGAGCATCAAGGTGCTCTGTTGCATCTGTGGAGAACCATGACTTACTAAGAATCTGTCAAAACTGCCGAAATGTAAAGCTCTTCCTCCCTGCTCATTGTTTTCTTTATCATGCCGCAACAACTGAACACGTCTCACTTGGTGGGTATATCCGCATACAGCAAAGAGGTTTAAATCTCGCTAGCCACACACTTGTAGTGTTCCGCTGCTTCTTGCGTTTGTCAAGTATGTAAAAGTGCATGAAGGCCCCTTCCTGGTATATTATTGAGTAGCGTGTTGTAAGTACATAATGCATATGCAAACCTACAGCAGCAATTGTATTCCCAACATCGTCGTCGTTACTACTTTGTCAATTACGTAGTTTGGGATCCTTTAAAAAGAAGTCTGTGCCTACCCCAGACAAAGCATCTTTAACTTTTTGTGAATTAAGTTACCTCGAGGTGCTATAAAGCAAGGTACCTTATTATACAATCTAATGCATCGATGCAATAACAGTAAAGCAATTGAACATACTGTTTGGTGCCGTTGAGTTGTTACAGGTAGCAGCTGCTCCTTCTACATACCACCATGCTCATTGAAACGGCGGAAAGTTTCCTTATTCAAAAAAGATCCCGTTGTATACGGCAGTAGAGGCGGCAAATAATACATTTAGTATATAAACCAGTACATAATAATCGCAGTTGACCGCAATAAAGCTCAATATACTTTAATATACTTAATTTGATCGATGCTCATGCTTGCTGACCACGAATCCAAGTGCAAGGAGGTGTGGCCCGGGTGGAAGATGGTGATATGCGCGCCCTGCCACGCCGTGCTGTTGTGCCGTGCATATTACACGGTTGTGATCTATCATAATGAAGGGAGTGGTGGTGGCAGTAACCCCGCCCTCGAGAGTCCATCGTGTACAGGATTTTTCCTAATGATTGGCGGGGCATTTTTTCCCATCATGGCGAGCTCTTTTTTTTATTTTGGCGTTGGGGGGGGGTTATTGGCAGATGGTGAAAATTACAATGGCGCTGTAATTTCAGGTTGATGGCAGATTTACAAATTTCATAATGGCGGGTGTAATTTTAGTTCCTTCTTAAAAATAGTATTTTTTTTTGCCTTTGAATTGTTACTTCATCATTTATTAAATCAATCAATCCCAACATTCTGGTATTATTGTTAATTCTGGTGTCCTTAAAAGACGGTTTAATCTGATTGAGAGCTGTACACCATCGTTATCATCATTGATGCACAGACAGCTTTCCAGGAGGCGAAAAGCCCAGCTGATTTCAAACCACTCAGCTATGACTCGGCAAACTGTTTTTCTTGACAGCTTGGTTATTACCGCAATAGCATCCTTCGACTCCTTTTCTTCAAAATACAATCTTGCTATCTCTTTCTTTATCTCCACAGACAGTTTGGTTCGTTGCCGGCGGTGTATTTCCTTATACAGTTCCCAGGCTTCAATATCGTATAAGAGATCACGCTTTGTATGAACCAAATAGCCACAGTTAAATATATCATTTTGAACACGTTCTATAGAAAAAAGCCGTTATTAATAAAAGAAAAAATAGTGATGTTAAATATAACACACCTTTAATTACAAGAGCTGCATAAATAAACAATGTATTATAGTATGGGTAAGGCATTTTAAATGAATGAAGAAAATAACTCTCGCCATCGCAAGTGTGCTGCTTTTATATAGTTTACGAAGAACTTTATAGTGTAACACAAGCACAATCTCACAAAACATATTTACACACTCATCACCATCCATCAAGTCAAATCAACCAAACTACAGTGTTTTGTGTTTAAAAAATGAAATTTGAGGGGATCAAATACAATTTTTGTTTAGAACAATGAAATTTTTCTCTAACTAATATATAATTTTTGTTAAATGAGTGTAATTTTTCATCATCCAGTTATCCAGTATAATAGTCAGGAACTCACTCGAAAAAAATAAAAATAAAAATAAAAATTAAAAAAAAAGATGAAAATAATGAGTTTTATTGTTGTTGGAATATACAATAAAGTCAAGCGATAGCAAAAAGAAAGATAAGTCTTGAGAAGTCAATCTTCTTAATTTACTGTAGATATAATTGACGAGGAGTTAAGACTCCTTTATTTTCTATATATAAAAAACTGTAATAAGAAAAACAGGTGATATTTTTTTAGCATAATAATATAAAAACGTATGTGTATAATAGTAAGATAATAAAATATAATGATTGTTTCTATTACGGATTTGAAGTTGTTACGGTATATTCTAATTCTCAAAAGCTGACGAAGTGTACTATATATTATTATAACTTTTTCGTTTGAGCTTGACTTTCTGACTGCTATATTGGAACATCAGTGGTTTTCTACCCAGGTAAAACATGAAGGATTATACACTGTCCTTTGAATGGCCAATGGAGGAGGGTTGAGGCCGTCAACATTGACTGTGCTGGTATTGGTTACGACGGAAGGAGGAATAAATAGTGTTGATTACTACATTTACATTCATGGCTTCTTCCGCTCCCGCTCAGAACCAGCAGAACAAATTGCCCCCTGAAAAGGACGCATCCCTTGGCGCATCAATTCACGCGCCTCAACCTGGAGAACCCAGGATGACATGGGCGCATATCGTTCAAAACAAGCGCGTCTCGCTCATGCATAATGTCGACGCCCCAGCACCTACAATGGACAACGATGGCTGGACCGTCCTGCAGTCGCAAATATGGCGCAATGGACGCTTTACCGACTGCGTTCTCTTCGATATTTCGACCCGCCCCGAGCCCCTACATTCAGTCCTGCAAATGGCAGCGGCTCAATTCCCAGAAAATACAGGTGCCTTTACTCATCGCGAGGGATCTCGAAGAGTTTTACTCGAGATGTGTTTTGATCTTGACATGCCTTTACAGCGGGCTTTGAATTCGGGACTCGTTTTCGAAAAAGACAAAACACGCATTCGTGCCATCCGAGCTCTACCAACTGATGCCGACACTAAACGCCTTCGCCTCACGCATCTTCCTCCAGTACGATCTCACCTCTTATGTGAGGGTTTGAAAGAAAGCCTTGCGCCTTACGGGCGGGTAATCGACTGTGGAGCCTTCCGTGAGCCCACCACCAACCTCTTCATGGGTAACGGCTATGCCGTCATCGACTGCACCAACCATCCGGAAGATGAACCTTTCGCCACTCTCCCCCATATCATCGCATGGAAAGGAGAATATAAATATGGATTCTACGCTACCTGGCATAAGATGCCTCACCATTGTACCTGGTGTCACCAACCTGGCCATCATCGCAGCGACTGCACCGAATACAAAATGAATCTAATGTGCTACAACTGCCGCCACGTGGGACATATAGCACGTGAATGCCCGCGCCGCATGACCGCCAATAATAATGAGGATACGAACAAGAGACGTAAAACATCAACAGGGAAGCAGCTGGTAACGACTACGGGGACAAAGGCATCCTCTACCGGCAAAGGCAAGGGTAACCGATCTTCAATGAAGAAAACCGCCACTTCCTCCCAGCAACAACCGCAAAGACATGGCTCTGAAACCAACAGTAACACCGAGGTTAGCAACAACGATGCCGGCGCCATAAAGACCGACGATGAACAGCAAGTTGACGTCGCTACCAGCAGCGCATCAGACGACGACGACGAGAGACGACTTAATGACGACGATAGCACCATCAACGACAGCGCATCACATGACGACGGGAAGGATAAGGACGATCATGCATCGCACGACGATGAGAAGGATAAGGACGACCATGCATCGCACGACGACGGGAAGGATACGGACGACATTGCATCACACGAAGAAGGAAAGGATACGGAGGACCACGGGCCAACTACAGAGGAGCAACATCACCAAGATGAGAATGACACTTTGGATTCACAACAGATCAGTTCAGTTCTGTCCAACATTATCTCTACCATCGAGGAGGACACTACGATGGTCGACGCCACTGCTGTTAGCGAAGACGTCGATTTCGATCTTCAAGACCTTCCTATGACAGAGGCAGCTCGGAAGTCTCTTCGTACTATGTCAGAAGCCAAGAAATTGCGAATCCAAAAAGCACTACTCGTTCAAGCAGCTAAATTGCCCGGTGTGTCGGCCCTGACCAGCCACAGTGCTTACGGTCGTATTCGCAAACCGTCAGCAAAAGCTCTAATAACATCGCCAGTGGGCAAAAGCCAGCTGGGCGAGGTAACTCCACCAACGTTAAACATCAATGAATAGGAATTTTAATCTAAAATTCCTATCACTCAACTGCAACGGTCTTGCCAAGATCAGCCGACCGTCTGCACGCCAATCACTCATCCGCCACTTGCGGACCACACACCAACCTCACCTTGCGGCTATTCAAGAAAGTCATGCTGACCGCCTTGCTGATCCACAAACCTTACACCACGAATTCTACGCCCACAATAGTCTATGGACCCAACACGTCGGACTAGTCTCTTTATCTACTGCTATCAACCTTGAACAACTCGCCATCACACCAGACGAACGCGCTCTGCTCGTCAAAATTACACATTCCTCCGACGTTTTCGAACCTTTCTTCGTCTTGGTTCTTTATGCACCTGCCGACACTGCCATATCTCGTCGCAATTTCTACCGCTCTCTCCTCGAATCACCAGTACTTCAGCTACGCGACTCTGAATTTTGCACCAAGCTTATCATTGCTGGTGATTTCAACTACGACATTACCCGCGCACACTATACGCGCGAAGCACCATTCGAATGGCACGCCCTTTTGGATGAATCATTTTCCGACTGTATCACCAATCGTGACGAATGCTTGCCATTCCCGACCTTTAGGCGTGGCGCGACCACTCATTCTACGATTGACCACA